GGTTACAAAATCTTGATTGCATATTGGAAGTATGTTTATATAATAGTATTAAATATAAATATCACTTTTCTCGAATGGATAAATTTTAAATAAACTTTCAAAATGATATTTCTTTATACTGAAAAAGATCAAATTAAAATTTAATTTCAAATTTTATATTAATAAAATTTACTATTAATGTAATTTTTTTTTAAAGATGCAATTATAACGAACAAAACGGAAGAAGATACGACAACTATATTATCATATTATTATTCTTCTTTATAGATATGGTTATTATTTTTATGGTTATCATCATTATTATATCATTTATGGTTATATAATGTTGTGAGAAAATTCATTAAGAGAATACGCGATATTTTAATATTTTACACATTTGTTTTTATATTTTATGTATTTTTAGTTTCCGATATTGTTTTTAAATAATATTTTTTTTTAAAAAAAAATTTTCGATAATAAACAGATCATCAAAAATTTTACAACACAAAATTGTCACTGGCCCACTCAAAGAAGATTATTTCAAGAATTTATATTTATTTTCTTGCCCAATGTCAGAAATGAAATATTGTATAAACAATTGTATGACATTGAAATGTGTAAAACGAATAGAACCCACGTATTTAAAAAGTATATTTCATTATGAAAGATTTATTGTTTTTTTATTTTATTATTCAATTAATGATAAAAGAATAATGCTATAACTATAATAGTAAAGAAATTATATTTTGAGGAAGAGTTACTGGATTTATCAGAATTTTTCACGGATAGCAATTCGTATCCGCTATGGAGTCTGCGGATTATCTGTTTGCGGATATTTATTATTCGGTTTATTTTTATCCGTATTTTTTATTTTTATAAATATAAGGGAAAGTAAGCTTAGTGAATACTTTATAAATTATCTCAAAAAAACATTTTATTATCTTTTTAATAAAAAAATATATTCTTTTAGTAAAAAAAAATACCTATTAAACAAAGATGACCAGCAACTTTCGAAAAAGGCCAAGATCTGCTATACAAGCGACACCAGAACCGAAAACACAAGTGAGTTGTTACCCTTCTGGAATGAATACACACAGAAGGAATCAGAAAAGTGGTGGTTACCTGAAAAGACCACTTGTTCTGCTTTGGATTCAAACTTGTGGAATGAATTCCTAAAAAAAAAGAGGACATAACTCATGGTTCTCAGTTAATATGTTTGTACCAACGGTAGAAAAACCGGAGAGCTTACAGTTATCACAATGTTTGTGGCGAGATATAATGAACTATGTCCAACCAGAAGAAGAAAAAATGCCACCCAAAAGATTCAAGAGCTCCAAAAAGTAATAGGAGAAACTTCCAGCAGGCAAAGTGCAACGCATCCGTCTTTATCCCACTCAAAATGAGTGACTAAAACTCAGAAAATGGATGGGAACAGCACGATGGACATACAATCAATGCCTCAATGCAATTGAAAAAGAGGAACAAAAAAGATTTACGGGCACGATGCCTTAATGCCGTAAATTTCAAAAACGATGCAAAACTTAAGTGGGTTATAGGAACACCTTATGATATACAAAATGAAGCTATGAATGACCTGCTTAAAGGATATTCTACCAATTTTGCATCTAATAAAAATTTAAAATGAAGTTCCGTTCTAAAAAGGATCCTCGACAATCAATTGCAAACATTAGAGCAGGTCTCATGGTGAATATTCTTTTCTTCCTAAAATGAAGTCAGCAGAACCTCTCCTGGAAAACTTGGATATGATAGTCGTCTTGTTGTGAATCGCTTTAGGGAATTTTATCGGTGTATTCCTAAACCACTGGAAATGAGGACTGAAAAACCAAGGTCCTTTATTTTCAGAAGCGCAGGAAAAGGTTTTTATTTATTTTATTATATTTTTTATATTATCTATATAAATTCTATAAAAGATTTCAGTTGTAGTTTAAATAATTTACTTTTATATTAATAAATAAAAATCAAAATTTTAATAAAAATAATTTTTTTATTTAATAACAATTTAATAGGAAGGATCGGGGGTTATTGCTCTGGATCCAGGCGTACGTACTTTCATGACAGGCTATAATCCAAGTGGAGTAGCTATTGAATGTGGGAAAAATGATATTGGTCGAAATTATCGACTAAATCATAAATACGATAAAAAAAAACAAGCGTAAGCGCTATAGGTAAGTTTAATTAATTAATTAACATTTAATATATTGTTTATATTAATTATTTAATTATATTATAATTATTTAATTATATTAATTATTTTTAATTATAGATTTCATCTGTTACGCTTCGCATCCATAAGAAGATTCGTTGGCTTTGCGAAAATCATCGTGTAATATTATTACCAGAATTCCGCACTCAAGGAATGTTCAACGACGTATCGGTTCCAAGACAGCCCGAGCTATATGTACATGGTCACATTTTCTCTTTCGACAACATTTAATCCACAAGAAACGTGTGCATCCATGGTGTCAAGTAGTTCTTTGTACAGAAGAATACACAAGCAAAACTTGTGGATCTTGTGGCTATATTCACAAAAACCTGGGTGGATTCAAGGAGTTTTGTTGTCCCATGAAAGGCATTTATAAAATAATCAATAATGATAAAGTTGCCGTTAAAATAAAACCTAATTGAGGTGAAGAAAGTTTACGCTCATGCCCAGTCAATTGCTAACTTAATTGTCGGACAGTTGAAAAAGCGAAGTCGCACCCAATGCAAAACTAAACTTGACAGGGATATTAATGGTGCTCGTAATATTCTTTTTATACCTCACTAAAAAAGAGTCAGAGATAGGTCTAAATATAGATGTTACACCACATAACGATTTATGATTAAATCTGACATCATTTCGGTTGATCTTATCGTCCAAATTTCATTTCTTTTTTCATCATGTCTCAAAAGAGTGCTATTCATTATTACGATGATGGTGATATTATTCTTATGGTCGAAGATATGTCCTTTTGCGTACACAAAAAATATTTATCTTTAGCCTCAAGGATATTTAATGACATGTGTGCAACTTGTTCTCAAAGTTATGAAAGTCAATTACCAATAATAAACCTCTCTGATGATTCTGCCACAGCTTTTGAAGAATTATTATCTTTTCTTTATCCAAGTAAATGGGTACGAATTACTTGGGACAATGTTAGTCAGTTTCTTCAATTTTCTGATAAATACGAAATTATCAGCGTTCTTTCTGCTTCCGAGGATTTCTTGGAACAACATTTCGTAGAAAAACCTTTAAAATCTTTAGTTCTGGCGGATTCTTTTAGATTCAAAAATGTATATAAAGAATCATCAAAATTAGTAATTAATCAATTACCAAGTTTAAAGAATTCAGAAGATTTTAAACTATTATCAATTGTTACTAGTTTGGCTTTATTATCAAGATATCTTGATTATATTAATGGTATTGGGATACTTAATCCATCGGAGTTATTAGAAGGTTTTACTCATGAATTTCTTTGTAATTCAACGGCGCATGAGAGTAGTTTTATAGCTAATTTTACCAATCTCGTAAAAAAAGAAATACAAGTATATCCAGTTTTATCTCCTACGAGAGCCTTAAAATTTTTAATGACTTGTGAAGTAACTGAAGGAACTAAACGTTGTATTAGTAATTTTGAAAAAACACATCTTCCTGGAAAGTTAAAAGCTCATTTCGGTGAATTTGAACCAATGGCAAGTGAAAAGAGAAAATATGGAATTTTTAATTTTTTGTTCATTGAATTGAAAGATAATTGAAAATATGAAGAATAATTGTAAGTAATTTTTAATTTAATATTTTTCATGAATAAAATTTTATATATAGTATTAATATATATATATATGTATAATTTTTTTTTTACGGTAATATTTAAATGTTCAAGTTTCAGTAAGAATCCAAAAATTTTAATTCATCTCGATTTCATAATGTACCTTTAGAAAATAATTTTAGCATCATACAATAATTAATTTTTTTAGATAGAAAATTTATGATTTTTTTTTTAAAAAAAATAGAAAGTTCAAAATTAGATTAAGACAATCTTTTATCATTGATGATATAATTTCGTTTTTCCTCTCTAAAAAAATCTACTACGTAAATTATAAGTGGCAAGTATTCTTTGTTGTTTATGATGGATTTTTTTTTTTTGACCCACATATAAATATTCTTTAATAGTTTTGGTGGTTAATTTTTTTTTTTTTGTGGAGCTCATTTGAAGAATTTTTTGATTACAAGCAATAATATTTCAATATATGATCCGTTTGCAAAGACGTGTAAGGTTTTATTTAAATTAATTATCTTTATTAATAATCTATCTTGGTCCCGGATCTCTCTATATTTATTTTGAAGCAAACTACGTTTCATGATGATTTTGATTTCAAAGGTAATAGTAAGGAAATAGAAAGAGATAAATATTCTATTCACCAAATATCTCCAAAATACGCGTCAAACATTCTCCCAATTAGACTTATCAAATGTCCTGTAACATTTCCAATCTCATCAGTAAAGTAATACATAATGATCGAAAGAATAGCAATTATTATTGTCAAAATTGTAATATAATTTTTAATTAATGAAAATTTTTTGGATCTGGATTCCAACTTTTTAAATTCGGCTTGTTTTTGTAACTGTTTACGAGCAAACTCTACTTTTTTGTTGATATCAGATTCATCAATTCCATAAACTTTGGCAGCTGTAAATGTTGAAAGTGCTTCTTGGTATTTCTTTTGTTCAAACAATATGCATCCTAATAATTAAAATAAAAAGTGAAAATGATAAAATAAAATTATTATATTCCGAAATAAAATAATAAAAAAAAATGAATAAAAAATTGTATTCTTTACCTTTCCTATAATAACCCTTTGACCATGTCCTATTAAGTCTAATACAATTCTCTGCATAAATTAACGCATCATCAAATCTTCCCAATTTAATTAACACTTGAGCACAATTTGAATTAACCAACAAATCATTGGGATCGATTTCAAGTGCTTTTAAGTATGATTCCAAACTATCTTCGTATCTACGATTTTTATAAGATTGATTACCTTGAAGTCTTAATTTTTCCACAGAATTATTTGGACTAGATTTAGGAACTTCCTTATTGCTACTACTACTACTACTACTACTACTACTACTGCCCTTATTTTCTTCATTTAAATTTAATTTTTTGATTTGTTTCGAATTCACTACCTTTTTTTCTATTTCTACCCGTTTTTTTAATAATTTTTCCGCTTCTTCAATCTATGAAATTATTATTATGGATATTATTAAGTGATAAATTTTGACAGTTGAATATACAATATATATATATATATATATATATAATTGATATCTGATATTTACCTGACCAAGTTCTTTATAACATTTAGCAGCTCTCGCATATGCTACAGAGTGTAAAGTAGAATTACCAGGTGCAACATCATCCGAGAAAGGAATATTTGGCAAATCCAACATCTTCTTTGCTATTGTTCAACAATAAAAAAAAAATACGGATATGTATTAAAGAAATTTTTGAAACTTTTTTTTTGAAATTTCAGGAAAATTATTTACCATCTTTTAATGCTGCCTCATATTTTTCCAATTGAATTAAACTGATGATAATTTATAAACGATTTTTATCAATAATTTTAACAAAAAGAAAAAAAAATGAAATATCAAAAAATATCAAAAAAGTTATTGGATAAAAATCCTACCAAGTACATCTACTCAATAAAGGTAAATGAGCATCAGGTAATTTTTCAACCAAATATGAAAAAATCTTGACTGCTTCATCTAATTTATTTTCAGAAATTAATTTTGAAGCTTTTTCAATCAATTGTTGTCCACTTAATTTTTCCATTTCAGCTTTTATGTTTTTATTAGAATTTTATTTAGAAAATTTTTTTCTCAAAAAGAAGGTAATTAATTAAGTAATAAATTAGAGTGCATATCTATCCAATTATTCCAATTATTAAAAATGAATGTCTATATTTAGGGGTCCAAATCTAAAGCGGAGTAGAATCATGTGAGGTGATTTCGGAAGCGATCTTTTCCAGTATCACCAGAAATTTTTCCACCCCAACCTGATCACCTGTTTTGATTATGGACCAATAAAATTGTGATGAAGGTTGGTGACGAATATGTTTTCTAATAAATACGCTACTCTACGACACTGGCCCGAAACATGATTCTACTCCGCTTTAGCCTACCCGTTTTTCTTCGAGTTTTTTTTTTCACTAGATAATTTTTCTTAGCTTCAACAACTTTTCCGTTCATTTTTTTCCAAAATTTACTAATTTAAGCTCTTCATTTTTTTTGGCTATACAAACCAGTGTTGTAAGTAACCTAAATGACCTCAAATGACTTGATGACTTTGGTTATTTGTCATTTGGGTCATTAAATCGACCAATTTATATAATAAACTTTTGAATTTTGTTTATTTAATAACTACAATGCCATATTTTATGATTCGAATTATAATAAGAATATCATTTTCTAAATTTTCGTACATCCAATTTTCAATTACTTGTACTCAATGTTCGGTTAAATGAATTGTTATTAATTTCATCATAATCATTACTTTATTATTATTATTGTTTGATTGAATGAGAGTTATAACCTTTTATTGGTTATTTAAATGACTTTTGCATCCTGGGAACCTTTTGATATATAATAATTCAAAATTTAGGACTATGCAGATCAGTAAATGAACTGGATCATATGATGTTCTGAGGTATTGAATAAATAAGATATTTATCTGTTGGAATTATTATGTGAATAATTTCAACAGGAAAAAAAAACAATTTGTTATTGGATCATATAATGAAGATTTAGTTGTTGATGTTTTCAGTGGACTTTGAGCTAAAATTAATGAAGATACAACTCATTGTTATAGGGAAGTGTTGGCATCTGAACGTCTAAGTGCTGAAATAATTTTTAAAATATTAGAAAAATGAATCAATGAGTTGATATATGATTTTAAATGAAGAACGAAAAAATCGTGATGAATATGAAGTTCTATCTTCCAAAACTACTCATTCTTAAGCATATCTTACAAGTAAACCTTTAGTTTAGTTTTTAATATAGATATATTCGGGTTATAATATATTAATCCCATTTAATACTAATTTATCAGTTGTTTCGGCTAAATATGTATGTATTAGCCTTTCTATTTATGATATTATGATGTTTTTACCACTTTTAATGCTTGTAAATTTATTTTACAAATTATTATCAAATTATTTATAAATAAATTTTTGCAATAACACATTACATATTTAATGGCCCGTCATCTTTCCATCAATTTCTAACTTTGAATTAGGCCTAGTAAAATAATATAGTGTCAAAACCACCCACGGCTTGCTATTTCTTTGATATCTTTAAATCTATCATAAGGTATCCATTTGATTACTTTCAAAAACTCATCTTGTTTTAATTGAGCATTCCGAATAAAATTATCAACTGTTTCATTTTTACGTGTCCATTTATCAAAATTATCTTTGAAATATACTGAGGAGTAGCCACCCAGAGTACAGGATTTCTTGATTGCATCCTTTACGTAAAAGCATTTTATTTTCTTAATTTTGATGAGTGAGGTAATTGAAAAAAGGAAATAAAAATTAGAAATTTTTAGATACTTTTATATAAAGTTATATAAAAATATATATTCTTTAGCATGGCTGTAAAAATGCATGCTTATAAAATTGGTTCTAACCTGCTAACATAAATTTTGACACGTGATCACATGGTAATAGTACTTAATTATATGATAAGATAAATGCACAGCACACATTATTTTACTTAAATTTTATTGTGGAGAAATGCAGGATCTAATTTCAATTCAAATGATAATAAATTAAATAAGTAAATCTCAACATTTTATTTGAAAAATTCCATATTTATAAATGCATATGACATCTTGATCTAATTATAAGTAAATCTGAATTTGATCAAATTATATTATCATAAATTGGAAAAATTCAATAATATTTTTAAGCGAAAATAATGACCTTGGCAAATATAAAAGAAGCGAAAAATAACTTCACTTCTCAATCCTCTAACCAAAAAAAAAGAAAGAAACTAAATCTGATAAATTTTTCCTAATGACTTTTATTATCATAATCTCTACAAAATCGGTTCTAATGGCTGAATATGGTACCGTTGTTGCTAATTTCAAAAGAGGTACAAACGATGATAAACTCAATGCGATTTACTTGGTGATAAAATTCAACTTACATTAATTTTCAAAGACACAATTTACATCGATAATGTTTTAATTAATACAATTGAAGTAGTTGACAAAAATGAAGATGAATTAATTATTGACTTTTCTGAGTATATTCAAGAAAAACTTACTACGGACTTTGCCACTGATATTCACATTATTCTGATTCATTTTGATATTTCAGTTATGAGCGTTGGTAAAGTTATAAATAAATTCTTATTGATTTATTCTAATGCGGAAAAACTATTGGAAAAAACACAGATTCTTGGTAAAGAAGTTTAAATTAGTAAAAAAAAAAATTATTTATATAGTAAGAATATATTTTAATAGAATATTACTTGAAATATTAAGTAGTAATTGTATTTTCTTTTGTGTGGATGACGTATAATAATAATAATTAGTAGTACTATTTCAACGCAATTTTCTATTGATTTTATTTAATTAGAAAATTTTAATAAATAATTTGTAAGAAATTATGCTCTTGATTATTATTGTCTTATTGTCTTTTGCTAACTTCATAAAAGGTAAATGCTAAATTAAAAATTTCCATATTTATTGATTTTTCATTGAAGGGTTTATTGGTACATATTATCCTAAATTGGAAAAAAAAATAGAATTTAGTTATAAATGCATATAATCTTGATTGCAGGATCTAAATCTGTAAAATTTGTTACACCCAAAATTTTTTAATTTACTGTATAAATTAAATGTATATTATCATAAATTGGAAATTTTTCATATTTTTAAGCGAAAATAATAATCTTGACAAGTCAAAATAGCTTAATGATTCCTCAAAAAATTATTGAAATTAAACAAAAAAATGATATCAAGAAAATTCTCCTCTTGGCTATTATTGCCACAATATTTACAAAATTTATAATTTGTTCTAACAACTGAAGTCTAAATGACCAAATCATTTCACATCTATTTCAAATGACCAATCATATTTCTGTATTATTTATATTTTTTAAATACTGAGTCATTTGGTCATTTGTCATTTGCGAAATTACCTATAATGTAGGTTATTTGAAGGTAATTTCAAATGATCAAATAACTCGGTCATGTGCTCGGAAAGATAATATTACTTACAGACAATCCGAGAAAGTACTATTATAAATTATGCGTTCATAGTAAAAGAAAAAGGTGTAGAAATTATTGATCAAATAAATTCTCAGAATCTGTCAGTGTTTCGCATAATTCTGGCTCATTTGATATTTTAGAGATGAGCGTTGGCAAAGTTGTAAACAAATTCTTATTGATCGAATATATTACTGATTGAAGTGCAGATTCTCAGTAAAAGAAATTTAAATTAGTAATAATTATGTAGTAAAAATATTTTTAATGGAATATTACTGAAAATGTTAAGTAGTGGTTGTATTTGCACATAATAATTAGTAGCATTATTTTATTTAATTAAAAAATAATTTCTCAAGAAATTGTTCTCTTGACTATTATTGCCTTTGGTTTATAAAATAAAAATATTTGCTTGTCTTCTTAATTGGGCAACTTTTAGTGATAAGGCAAGAAACTTTTTGTGCATATTATCCTTGTTTTTATAAAATCGGTTCTAACGGCTAAAATTGGTTCCGCTGTCATATAAGAGGTACAAACGATCAAATCAAATAGTGATTACGGCAATTTTCTGAGCAATCACTGTCGATAATATTATAAATCATACGTAGGCGAGAGAGATGTAGAAATTTAGGTCCCTCTTATCTCTCTTGGTATATTCAAGAAAAACTTATTACAACTCTGCCACTAGTACTTCACATCATTTTGAAATGATTGCATTGTGGAGAATGCATTCGTTTTACGATCTAATTTTCAAAGCAAGAATAATAATTACATAAGAACCTACTTTCATTTTAATTGAAAATTCCATATTATAAATTTGATAAATTTGATAAATTTGGTCATAGGTGGTATAAATGGTGAAATCAATGCTGAATTTACTTGGCGTAATGATGATATAACCCAACTTACGGCACTTTTCAAAGACAAAATCACGCCCTATAATGTTTTAAATACGTTCGTAATAGTTAACAAAGATGAATGAGAAATGATTATTGATCTCATTCTGTATATTCGAAAGAAAATTACTACGGACTTTTGTCCCTTATTATCCTGTTTCGTTTTATATTTTAGCTGAGCGTTGACAAAATTCTTATGGAGATACAAAGATTCTTGATAAAGAAGTTTAAATTAGTAAAAAAAAAATTTTAATTCAATTCAATTTATATAATTATTTCAATAGAATATTACTTGAAATATTAAAGTAGTGGTTGTATTTTGTTTTGTATAATAATAATAATAATAATTACTAGCACTATTTCAGCCAGCACAAAGTTATTTTAATTAGAAAATTTTCAATAAAATATTTTATCTCAAGAATTCTCCTCTTGACTATTATTGCCTTAGGTTTATAAATTAATTCTAATTGGGCAACTTTTAGTGGAAAGATAAGAAACTTTAACAATGAAAAAGAAAATAAATCTGATAATTTCTCAACAAATTAGTGAAATTATTCAAGAAAAATTTTCCTCTTAGTTATTGCCTTTGTTTACATAACCTTTATAAAATTGGTCTGTCGTTACCTTCATTAATATGGTGTAAACTGTCCAAATCAATAATTTGTTTGGTAAAAAAATTCAACTTACGGCAAATTTCTTATATAGGATAAATGCATATAATACTAATGTGGGGTAAATTAAATCATTATTACAAATCTTATCATTATCATAATGATGGTGTGATTTTAATATATATCGGATGTAAAAAATGAAGTAATGATTATCATAAAATCTAGATAATAATTTATTTTTATTTCAACAATTTTATAATTAATTTTTATAACTTTTCATAAACCTGCTCGGCTTAGATCTCTTGACCAGCAGATTTACTTGCCAACTTTAATAAAAATGGACCAACCGTTAGAGGGTTCAATTGGCCGGTCTCTCTTTCTTCACCTATGAGATCATTTAAAATGCCGGATAATTTACCATGTATTTTTTCGACTTGGTCTCGTAACATAGCATTTTGATTTATAATATTTTTTAGATCCATTTTCCTTTCTTTGTAAAGCTTATTTAGTTCCAAGGCTTTACTTTGTTGTTCCATTATCAAAGCATTTCTTTCATGTTTTAATATTTCGAGCTTCTTCACTGTCAATTCCTTTCCTTTTATTTTATAAAAATGAAATATTATATTTTTTAGTATATACAGTAATATTTTAAATTATAATTATTTAAATAAGTACTTTATTTACCATCTTCAAATTGATTTAGTTCATTAGAAAAAATTGGGAAAGGATTTCGGAGTCTTTTTAATTTATGATCTACAATATTCATATAAATGTATTAGCGTTAAAAATGACATATACAATTTAAATTTTTGCGTACCTGAACGTATGTATGGATAATACAATTGAAGGTTAAGCTATAATGAATCAAAAATTATTATATTATTCCAATTTAAGTCAAAAAAAGAAAATTATTTATTATACATACAGAATGTTCCTTATTATTAGTAGTCTCGATAACAGATTCATAACTGTTTTCTATTTTTATTATACATGAATTTTTTTGTGAAAGAATATAACAAACTCATAAAAAAAAAGGTTATTGTACATGATTATTATTATATTGTTATATTGTTATATACCTAACTCAATTTCACTGCCTGATGATGGTTCGCTAGTATCTGGCATACGGTCCGCTTCATTATGAACATAGTCTCCATCAGACTCTTTATTGTAACAAACATCATCAAAGACTAAGGAATAAGAATATGTGGACATTTTGAATAAATTGTGATGGGAGGATGTTTTCTTTTGATGATAATGATAGAAGTCAACGGTTTTGGCTTTATCAATTTTAATAATACTGGTAGAAACAAAACAGCAAAAAAGAAATTTCCAAACGTTGAATTTTAATTATAACGTGAATTTAATTACGATTGGACCGATAAATTTAAATCACTCACATGAAAGTGTGGCATGGCATAATAATAATAAAATTCCTTAATTTAGGTAAACGTGATCTACACATTACATCACCATAACCACATAAATTTGTTTTTTGTTTTTCTGATTTTCTGAGTTACTTCTGTTATTAAAAGCTTACAAACGATTTTACAAAGAATATTCTTAAATGTAACTTTATCTTTCACTTCTTCAATATGTTGCCTACTATTCAAACCAATGATTCAACAATCGCCGAGTTAAAAACCACCACCACGCAAATAATTAGCTCCAGAATCACCAGGTTAGTCGCTACCCAAATCACTCGGTAAAATAAGTAATTAAATATCTTTATATTTGTTTCTATATATTTCTAGGAAAGTAGTTCATTTCAGTAACGAGACCAACGACACAAATGACGATAGTAATGTTCAATTTATGTCACCGTGTAAAAAATTGGTATTTAATAGGATTGAACCCGTACTAGCGTATAGTGATAAATTAGGAACTATTACTCCTAAAGTAATTGAAATGAAATATATATATATATATTAATATGTGTATATAATTAATTGTATATTATTAATTATATTTCTATATTTATATTATAAAGTTGTTACTCAAATTAAATGATGCGGAATTCATTTTCATAAATCTGGATGAATTCGAATTTGTCAACAGATCGATCGATTTCTTAGATTTGGGTAACAGCAGTTATCTCGATTTTAAAGTACATAAGAAATTTGGATTTAAACAATACTTTAAAAAAAAAATACTGAGAAGAAATATATTATTAACATAATCTTTTTTATAGAAGTATGATGATCCAAAAAAGGATCGATATGCTCACCTACGTCCGTATCGCCCATATGGGTTCGTAGATGAAAACTACCCTTCCGATGGTGTAGATCGTTACTTTCACAAAAATTATCAAAACAAAAACAAAGAAAACGTTAAAATTATGAATTATATCTTTTGGATAATGATCGGATTAACGTTAATATTTTTGATTGGACAATTTTGCATTAATTCGATTAAATACGTGATCTTCAATTGTTTATTGCCATTTGAAAGTTGTTTTTCTTACAAGTTTTCTGCATTCAAATTGGTGTTCAGATTCTGCTTTAATATTGGCTTTGAAACTTAATTTTTCGTTTATATATAATAATTAGATTAGATTTAAAAATTCTATTTAGGATTTATTTCAACTCATACAACTCGATTTAGCTTTTTGTAAAAATTACGAATACCTTCGTCATAGTGAAAATTTATAAATATTTATAATTTCCAAAAGAATTTCTTCGCTTTGTGCATTATTATATTATAATGTTTAGATATTAACTCGAATATTTTAAGATATAAATCATCAATTTATGATTTTTTTTTGCGTGGGAAGACAAAATTTAGGGGTCATTTAATATATTACGTTATTAGAATAATTAATAAATTATTAGAGTTACAAGAGCAAGTCTTTTATACATATAATATTAAAATTTAAAAATTAAAAAGGTAAAAAAGTAATTTTTTATTTATGGAATATTTCTCAGTTTTCATTTTCTCTTCAATGTCATATTTATAAATTTTACTCGCTTTTTAAATTAATAAATCAATTAATAATAATAAAATGAGAAATATTTTTTATAAATCTATTTCAGTAGACAATACATCTTTACATCTAGAACAGAGACAGTTTCCTTCAATTGAAGAGTAATTCCAACATCTAGGACATTTAAAGAAACTAGCTTTTTTTACAACTATCTTACCAGATCCTTGTATATTACCTTCAGTTAAATTAATATTTTCTATAAAATGTACTTTAGGTTCATTGGAATTATTTTCGACTAATAAAGAAATATCTTCATTTAAGGTTGCATTAGATGTTATAAAAATGGATTTTAAATCTGTGCATAAAAATTTATAAAAAATGTAAAAAATGTAATTTTAAGTGCTAGTTATTCAATAAATTTGAATAATAAAAAAAAATATTGTCATCCATACCATGTGTCTTAAGCATATTATATAAATTAGAATTCAAATATAAATCTACGTTTGCTTCTAATGAACTCTTTATTAATCTTTAATAAATTAATAAAAAATTAATTAATAAAAATTTTAAATATTAATCCTTTTTAATTTAAAAGTATTTTTATAAAATATCTTAATTACTTTTCCTTCCTTGCTATTTCTAATAATTTATTAACTTCAGATCTCAAATATTTCAGAATATTCCATTCTATTTGAAGTGAAACATTATTCCACTGTTTATCCTAAAAAAACAATAATAATAGAATTATGAATAAATAATTTTATCAAATTAAATTAATCAATCATATTAAAAATATTCATTCCTACCAAATTATACCATCCTAATTTAAATACACTATCATACTCTCTTGGTTCCATAAATTTATAATTTTCATATATTTCTTCAGCAAGATGTGGTACCACTGGAGCTATTGACCTTGCATATACATTTAGAATCTTTGAATTTAAATAATTTATTATTATCATTATAAAAAATGATTTATGAATAGAAAAAATTGAAATGGATGTATAAAAATTACAAACATGATATAAAGATGATTGAACACTTCTTCTACTCAAACTATTAATATGGTCGGCATATAACCTATCTTTTACCACATCGAAATAGAATGCTGATAATGTTACACTTGAGAAGTTGTTTAATAACCGGATCACTGATTTTAAAAGAATTGTAAGTATTCATTGTCATCAATTATTATTACCTTTGATTAAACAAAAAAAAAACTAAAGTATAAAAAGCATATATACAGACAAACCTTTAGTAAAGTCAAAATCAGCATAACCAGAATTTATATCTTTTCCAAATTGGTAAAGCTCATGTAAAATATATTTATCAATCTATATCAAATAAAAATTAATCAAAACTATATTTTTAAAAGTGAATAAATAATCTGATCACTTATTATTTCAATTAAATTAAAATAAAAGTTCTTTGAAGTAAAAAAATTATTACAGATTTGAGATCATCATATTCCACTAATTTTTCATGGTTAAAATTATTTAAATTTCCAAGCATAAATCGTGCAGAATTCCTGTATCTTCTTAAAGATTCTGCTACCTGACCTAACAATAAAAGAAATATAATATTATAAGTATTCTTTGAATTATTTATTATTAAATTATTTACTAAATTGTTTAATATATTTACTCATAATTGATTTTCCAATGTTGACATCTGTAACATATTCAGAGGATGCAACCCAAAGCCTTAAAACATCAACACCATATGCGGGATCTTCACTTTTATTCTAGGATACAAAAAAAAAAATAAAATAAATACATATAAATATATATGTGCATAGCGTACTGTAGTAACGATAATTTATTATTTTGAAAATCGAACCTTTCCACCTTTAATAATAACTTCAGGTGCAACAACATTCCCTAATGATTTTGACATTTTACGACCTTTCTCATCAAGTACAAAACCATGAGTAATAACTGTCGAATATGGCGCTTTATTATTAATCGCAACTTTTAAAATAATTGGAGAGAAAAAAAAATTTTTAAATAAATAATAATAATTGTAAATAATGAATCACCTAAATGTTTTCAATAATATTTACCAGAAGTCAATAAGGAAGATTGAAACCATCCACGATTCTGATCAATTCCTTCAAGATATAAATCAGCTATTGGTTCATAATCTTGTCTGAAAATACAATTAGACATTATATTACATTCTAAATGAAAATTTATTGATTAAAAATAAGGTAGATTAATGTTTACCTTTTATATTTCTCTAAAATAAATGCCCAAGAAACTCCACTGTCAAACCAAACATCCATTGTGTCCATACCTCGTCGATATTTTATTCCTATTATGCAATATATATAAAATTATAAAGAAACTTAAATAATCTTAATGAATATTCATAACTCCAAAAGAATAAAAAATTGTTTACCATTATTCTTATACTCAGGAGCCACTAATTCATTCTCATCTATTTCCCACCAAACATCAGAACCACGCTCCTCAATAATTTTAATAATATGAGCAATAGATGATTCAGTAAAAAGTGGTTCATCGTTTTCTATATTATACAAAACTGGTATGGGAACCCCCCACGAACGTTGACGTGATATACACCATTCGCTACGTGATAAAACATATTGTCTTAAAGTATTGCGAGCTTGAAAAGAATAAATTAATTTTTAAGTAATAGAATAATATTTGAGATTTTTATTTTTACAAAATATATATATATATATATATATTTATATATATATTTACCAGTATCGGGTAACATTTTAACATTTGCAAGAGATTCAATTGCTCTTTGCTTGAAAGCTTGAACATTAGCAAACCACTGAGAAGTTGCTCTATTGTATTTAAAAATAATAAAAATAATGATATAAATAGATTTAGGAAAATCCTTAATAATAAACAACTCAATTTTTTCTTAAAAAACCAACCTATTAATAATTGGTTTTTTAGTTCTCCAGTCATATGGATATTTGTGAATAATCTTTTTTTCTTTAATCAAGATATTATTATCTCTTAAATAATCAATTACAGCAGCAGTACCATCCGTTAATACGAATTTTCCTTCAAAGGAAGGTTCACCAACTTCAGATGAAAATTTTCCAAAATCATCTACTGGACTGTGTATTGAAAGATTTAATTTTTTGCATGCTTCATAATCATCTGTTCCATGTCCAGGTGCTAAATGAACCAAACCTAATATTTAAGTTATATTTAAATTATTATTTAAATTGAATATTAAAATGATATGTTTATAGAAAATAAAAATACATATTGAAAAGTACCTGTCCCAGATTCATCATTAACAAATAATGCTTCAGTAATTCTACATTCTTCTTTTGTGATTGGATGACTATAACTTGTACCTATAAGCTGATGACCTAATATATAATTAAAATATAAATCAAAGTATAAATTTCTTTCAAAAATTATCATTTTGGATAAAAACTTACCACTAAATGTAGTTTTAATAGTAAATTCAGTTCCTAAAATCTTTTGTAATGAATCCAATCTTTTATTTGCTACAATATAATTATCTCTAGTACTAACAAATTCGGTGTCAAAAATGGGTGAAACAATAGAATATTCCATTTCTGAATTGATTGCTATAGCCTTATTTTATCATAATATAAAAGCAAGTCAGATAGAATAAATATAAAATCTTTTTTATAATTACAAAATTTATATATTAACCTGATTTGCTGGAAGAGTCCAAGGAGTTGTTGTCCATATTATTACATAAACATCATCATTTATTAAAATATGGTTTAAATTCTGTGCTATAACGAAAATGTATAATATTAATTTCTCTTTTTAATATATTTTCAAAAAAGGTAGCATTATAAGAATAATTATCTTAATTACTTGCCAAAATCTCTTACAGGAAGTTTTACATATACTGATCGGCTTTGATGGTCATCTCGATATTCTAATTCTGCTTCAGCTAATGCTGTTCTAAAATAATTGAATATTTTTATTAAATACAATATAATATTAATTAAATAAATTAATAGATTTTTATTTACCTGGATGATGGAGACCAATAGACAGGCTTATTTTGTCTATATATGTATCCTGAATAAAAAAAACTAAGGTATAATTATTCATTATTATTATTATAATTATTATCAAAAAAAAATGAAATTCTACCTTTTTTCATCATCTCATAAAAAATTTTTAATTGTCTAACTTCATATTCTTTATCTTTAAAAATAAAATAAAGGTAAAAGATAATTAATAAGTAACTTCATTTTAAATAGATGTTAAATAAATAGAAGAAATAAACAATATTTATACCTAGAGTTTTATAAGCATTTTTCCAATCACCCATTATTCCCCAACTTTTAAATTCTGATTTTTGAATTTCAACTGTATCCAATGCACTTTTTCTTGCTGTGGTTCGAATTTGCATTGGAGTTAATTTTGATTTGTCAACATTCTAATTTATTATTATTATTATTATTATTATTATTCATTCATTCATTCATTCATTCATAAATCATTTATAAATTAAAATAATATTTATTTCCACCTTAAGTTCTGATAAAGCCTTTAACTCAATTGGTAATCCGTGACAATCCCATCCTGGTATAAAACTTATGGTAAAGAAACAAAGAATTTTTAATTCTTAATAAAATAATTAGCTTATATTAAAATGTTATTGAATTCTTTTTAAACATACCTACCTAACTTTATATCCTTGTAAAATTTTATATCTATTGATTATGTCTTTCAGAATTTTATTTAATGCATGTCCTAAATTATAAAAATATTAAATCTAAATCTAAATTCAGCTTTATTCATAACAATTTTTTGGTTAAATAAAATATACCAATATGTAAATTTCCATTAGCATAAGGTGGACCATCATGTGATATTAATAAATCTTTTGGATTATTTTCCAACTAAAATATTATTATTATAATATTATAGAATTCGGAAATATCTCATTAGTTTATTATAAAAAAGTTAAAGTACTAATAAAAATAATTAAACAATTACAAATTTTCAAATTAATAAAAATTGTAATTGATAAATGATTATATTAAAATTATATTTTTACCTGCCAAGAATATAACTCGTCAGTACATCGATCACGAAATAGTTTTTCACGATTAATAGCATCTGCTCTTAATGAAAATTTTGTTTTCGGTAATAACAATGTATCATTATATGCTTTATTTGGATTATTATTCTTATTACTGTTGTCTAAAGATTTTAAAGAATCTTTGGAATTCAATTCTTTTGAAATAAAATATGATGATGAGAATTCTCGAAAATTGAAATAAATTATGCGCTTGTTAAGATTTCGAAGTATTTTACTATATAGCATTTTTTGTAAAGGACTTAAAGCCGTTTTTTTTTTTTAAGATAATCTTTTTAATTCAAATCATTTTTTTTTAATCAATTGATGCTGATCTATTCAAAATGTTCTGGGACGGGCGGTATTTTCTCAATATTTTAAAAAAATGTATGTAAGTTCCAGATTATTTCACCTCTTCAGCTTGTATTAATTGTTATGACGAAATCGTAATTGCATTAGAAGAGAGATTTATGGTTGAAATTCTGAAACTTCAATTACATTTACAAGCGATATAAAAGAAACAAAAAGTGTTTATTTAATATTTTCTTTTTTTTTTAATAAGATATTCGCTCAAAGCATTAATAATAACAATAAGTATTTACATTATTGCAAATTTTAATAATATACATGATATTCGCAAATTATTTATTTAATAAAGTTGTCAAATAAATGAATTATTTTCAATATTTGGTCACATCCTAATTTTTAAAATAGAATTATATTTTCGAAATTTCTAATAATTATTATTGATTATATGAGTGAGTCTTGGAAATTTGCCGTAAGTTTTCACCAATAGTTTGCCAAACAAATCAAGCATTGATTGAACAGTTTATACCATACTATGAAGATAGCGACGACGGACCGATTGTGTAAACAAAGGCAATAGCTGAGAGGAAAAATTTTCTTGAATAATTTCAATAATTTATTGAGAAATTATCAGATTTATTTTTCTTGAATAATTTCAATAATTTATTGAGAAATTATCAGATTTATTTTTCTTTATCGATTAGAAATGAAATTTATTTTTTCTTGAATCATTGTTAAAGCTTCTTGTCTTATCACTAAAATTACCCAATTAAGAAGACAAGAAAATGTTTCCTTTTACAAAGTTAGTAGTCAGAACAAATTTTATAACCAAAGGCAATAATAGTCAAGAGGCGAATTTCTTGAGAAATTATTATAAAATATTTATTATCAATTAAATAAAATCCATAGAAAATTGCGCTGAAATAATACTACTAATTATTATTATATGCTATCCACACAAAACAATATACAATCACTACTTAATAGTCATGTAATTTGATTACCATAAAAATTCACTAATTTTTGTTCTAAAAAAATAATTGTGTATTTATTACATTTATTTTTCTTTATTGATACTCTATTTTTGGAAAAGAACATACACATGAGTTTATTACATAGTGAATGACACTTTATTTTCAATTACTCGTTCGTTTATGATAAAATATCGCTTGACGTGAGAAATGAATTTTAAAATTTGTTATTACTACTGTACTCTTTTTCTTTGTTTAGAACTAAATTTATGGGACGGTATTATGTTTTTTTTTGTTCTCTTGTGTCAGTAATAAACTGTAAAAAAAAATTTAAAAACAATCAATTTTTTATTTATTTATTTATTGCGTGGGTATTGTTGAGAAATCAAATTTACTAATATCTTATTGTAAATACATGATTCATTTTGCTTTTCTTTTTATTATTTCTCTGGACCTATAACAAATTACCTATTACATACAGTAAGATCTGTTTTGCTCTTTCAGAAAATCAAATAAGTTTTTAAATACAATAAATAATTTCTTTCAACTCTACGCGACTATTTCGATCGTAAACTCAGTGAATGAGATATTGTCGGCTTTCTTAATGAATGCAAATGGGGATCTTTCGAACAAAAAATAGATCAGTTTCTTAAAAGCCTTGAGATTATTTTTGACAGCGAGGGCAAGAGAAGAGAAAAGGCAGAGGTACCATTTGATAAATATAGAAAGGCAAGTAATAAATATGTTAAAATTGTAACAAGAACCTATTGTGTTGGGCACAAAAAACATACTCGGTTGGCTAATGTTTAAAGCTACTCGCTGACTTGATGGATTAGAAGTTGAATAATAAATTATATTTGTTCAACATTCTCAGGAATTATTGTGACTCCCAATGATAGAACTGAAACTATAAAGGTGAAACCTTTGGTTTGAATTAAAATCATATGCTTCAGAATTAGTGAACTTAAAAAGATTTTCCTTAATGGGTTTATCGCTAGACAATAAAACACATGTGGTTAGATTTGGGATTGGTTAAATAGTTGTTGAGTTAATATTACGCTAATGCGCGTCTTTTTCTTTAAAAACAAAAATTTCGCAGAATGTATCCCTATTTTTTTTTACTCTCTCTTACAGTACTAGATTAGTACGAGGAAAATTATGAAGTATCTTACTATGTCGCAGAATTTTTTAATACCATATCTTCGTTGTGTTGATGCATGCCAAAGGTTTTAATTATAGATTTACATTATGTTTTAGAACGTAAGTTTAAAATAATAAACTATCACTTTCCCTTTTTAATGTTAACTTTAGAATTACCGTTATAGGATTCGGGTCAATTCTATCTCACAGAATGCTGTTATTCCCGTTACAACATTTTGATGGAATACCAATGAATTGATGTATTTTATTCGGTAAATGAAAATAAGAAAGAAAGAAAATTTGGGAATTTGTTCAAATTATACTTTTCTTGTGGGGTGGGAGGATTATGAATATTGATGTGACGCAATTTTACTTGAATTGCGATTTTAATTATTCGTAATTAATTAGATTGAATCCACAACTACACGCACGCTTGATGGTCCAGGACTCCGGTCACATGTATAACTTTTATATTTTACGAAAAAATTTCAGAAAAACTGGATACGTGTGTCCTGGCGCAGTAACGATCTAACGTTCTATTCTCAAGACTCCAGCGATAACATGGTCAACATTACGCACTGCATTTCATCATTTGTTAATTATCCTTGCTAATTAATAAAGTTGACCTCAGGATTAGCATACACATTCCACAAATCCCCATCATGCGAAATATTGATTGCCAAAAAGAGAATATTGTTTTGTCGGTAATAGCGAGAAGAAATGGAATAACACTTCGATAGGAAGAAATTTTTGTTTGTGATGCGAAATGTGAAATATTATAGTAACGATTCTTACGTTGCATAACCTTATTCCTTCGGCAAGAATTTTCCGATATTGTACTGTGCATAACATACAGTATACTGCAAAAGATAAGTCCCAAGTTTTTTATTATTTCTCCGATTTCGTGACACTTTCTCCAAGCTAGCCTCAAGCTTGGTAATGCATTGTTTCAATAATTTAAGCTCGGATGATGTGATTGATAAAAATTTTATACATTGTGGAATTATTTGCTTGATTAATACAAATAATGCAAATTTCTATGCCTAGTATATGATGATTTTTTCTATGCTAATTATAATATTTAAAATACCCCCGAACTCGTTGCTTTTTCATTGCTGGCTCTTTCACTACATCCACCATATCATTCAATAACCCAACAATGACTTTAATCTTCATCACCCACAGAATAAATACAAACTCTTAGTTGTTCTTTACAGCTTAATTTTCAAAACGTATTGGAAAACGCGACGGTTAATCCAATCTGGTATGATCTGAGCATCATCGCCATCAGAATTAACGATTTTTTGTACTTTATAATCTTTATATAGGTGTTCTGGTACGACAAAATAATAATATATTAAATGATCCATTGTCCTTCCGCCAAATTTGTTATATAGAGTTTTCAAACCACTCATCTTGATGGATAATCTTTTGCAATAGTCACCTGAAAGACCTTATTTGGAGCAATAATCGAATTCGATTGATGTAAAATTCCTTGCTGATGGTTTTAGTAAATATAATGGCAAGAGTTGTTGAGATAAATCGACTTTTGCAAGTGGATCATCATAATTTTCAGTATTATACTCCTCTAAAGGACGAACATCAAAATTTCCTCCATTCTGCAATATCCTGTGCGCAATACATTCAAATGAACTACCCAATAGTGGACTACCTGTGCCCGCCTTTGTTTTTTCAAGAAGCCTTTCTCTTATACGTGCTTCAAGTTGAAGAGTCACTTTTTCCTTTACATAATTAGACGCAAATCTTACAGGTATTAGTGTATAGGGAGTTTTGCCATTTCGATCCAGTTGATGTCCTGAATCATTAGGTACAACCAGTTCGTCATCATCTTCGACCGGGAGGTTGACATGGAGATGAACGATCATATGACTAATATCAAAAATATCCATCTTGCAATCTGTAATTGCACAGTAAGCTTATTTTGGTGAGTTTCATCATTACCTCTTTCCAGGACAAACCGAGGGATTCCCACTTCATAAACAGATTCGAAACTGTTTCCTCTTTTATTTTCTTCGGATAGAGTTCTTGCCAGCACTCTCTGATCTCTTTCAATTTCCATGTTGGCATATACCGTATTGTGACTACCCCAGTTTACTTGTCAAAGTTCCATTAGTGTTCCCTCTTGGATGAACAGACTAGAATTGAAGTAAATAATATCCGAAAAAGGTTTTTCCAATACCCGGATTTCCGGTTATGCGCAGTTTGTCTATTTTGGACAACATTTTCCAGATCGCGATAACATTTACGAATGAATAGAGTGAAAGATCCACGTTCTTTCCTAAAAATCGGGTATCTTCGGATAGTTTAAGAAATTTATTATCACAAGATGTATTCTTTAAAGCGTTCCAAAATTTATTCAGATCATCAGCTATTTTTACGTGTTTGTTAGGAGGCTCGATTATTACATGGATATGCGAGGGTCGGGAAAGTATTTTGTAACCATCCTCGTTGCACGAAGTTCATCTTCGTCTTTGAGTGAAAGAGCGTTCAACAAATCTTCTCTATCGTCAGGTATTTCCACTTTCCACAGCCTGAGCTTATCTGCAGGGAAACTATCAAACTCAAGGGCTTCTTCACCTTAATTGCTTTCTTGAGATCACCAATAGTATCTTCCCCGTTGATCTCGACTGGGAAAGCACTTCCGTTAACGAGACAGAAAAGTTTGATAGACATTGCAAGTTAAATACTGTATTTTGAGAAATGAATTCTTTATTGAGATCTGATTAATCCGTGATTACGCATGCAGATAGTACAACACACGATCGGCAAAAAATACTTTATTTATAATATTGACAACTGCTTCTTCTATAAAAAACGCTTAATTCCCTTTCAAGTTCACGAATATGCATTCTACACATTTTTTACATAAAATATCGAATAATAACTTTATTGATAAATAATAATAATACTATAAATACAAAAGGCAGATCCAGAGGATAGAAATATGGAGTAAGAACAAAGAGTGAGGAATAAGCCGAATCCAAAGCCCTTTACATTGTAAAGAAATGGCTGTTCCTTTCCCTACTCCATATTGCTACCTAAGTTGTTATCGTTTAAGATTATATTACTGCTACTTAATAAATTATTTCTATTACTATTGCTAATTATAACAGAACTATCTTTTTTCTTTCCCTCTCTCTCAATCCAAGCTTCGATTTTGTCTGAGGTATGCTGTGGTGCCTTCTGGTGTCAATAAAAGGTGACAAGTGTTGCAGGACTAAGTCCTATTTCCTCAGAAAGAACATTGTACATTTTAGTGGGAGATCACTTCTCTTTTTTTCTTCGTTCGTTAAATAGGTTTATAAATTTGACCCATATAGTTTTGATTTCAATGGAATATTCAGATTTGTGACTTTGCACAGCATGAATGTTGTGGTGAGGTTCGAACAGCAATAAAATAATTAAGATCTAATACAAGAAAAAGGCAAATATAGGAGAGTTGAACATGAGCATATGTGCAATGATAATCTGGTTCACCATCTGTATAGAGATATAAAATGGATTTATTAGTAATATTTTCTTCAAGAAGTATATTATATAATTCGGTTGCTTGTCAAAGAGGTGAGGAAGGTTAAAAGATTAGATCCTTTAATCCAATGCATATTTTTTCAGCATAAAAGTTACCAATTACGGATTCAGATATACTATATATCATTATCACACTTGGTATAATTCCTGTTTTAGTATAATTATGATCAGTGACTTCAAATGTAATACCTCTACTGACTACAACTTTCTTTCCTCTCTCTACTGCTGCAACAGAAAATCTGGGTTCTCCAACTTTGCAATAATGGTTATCATCCAAAAAAACAAAATTCGTGATGTTGTGAAATTTAATAACAAATTCTTTTTCATATCAAAATAATGTTGATATATAATGAGTATCTAGATGATAAGCTTGTAATTGGCATGTTTGAATCATGAATTTTAAAGGTAAATAACTTATAAATTGTAAACTATTAAGTCGTGTTGGATCTTTAGACCAAAATTGCACTTGTAACCATTGTGCACAAGGAATTGTTGTTTCAGGTAGACACTTATACTCAATTTGATACAAAAGATCATTTACTGAAATTGCAGTTGCAAGATGAACAATTGAATTATGTCTGAATTCATCTATAGCAGTTACAGCATCTGCTATTTTTCCTTCAAGAAACTGAACTGCAATTTCCCAGAAAATATTATATTTACTAGATCTTCCATTATTATGTTTACGCAAATTAATAGTAATCTCTGGATCATCAAGATCCAAAGCAATTTTGACACGTTCATCAATTTTTACTTCATTTGTAATTTTAGTCAAAGATGTATCACCTGTTAACATTCGATAGATTACTTGGAGTGAATGTGGTTTAGCTTTTGGAAGAAGTAGATCATAGGTATGTAAATAGTTTATTCGCATTACTCTTGTATGATAACGTGGTGCATCAGCTTGTAGCTTATTAATAATCCATTTATTTTCTTATAAAATTATTATTTCATCAGCTTGTTCATTGATCCTCCATATTGAAATTGCATTATAAGCATTATTTCCAGAATTGAATCAATACTCTCCAATTTTGAAGGAAAATGCATGAGATAAGCCCTGGATGTAATGCATTCTTGATCTGTAACACAAATAATTTCATTAGCCTCTGTACTAATAATTTAAAATATTGTTCTTTACTTACACAAGATCATTTGGCAAGTATTCTTCAATATCGACTGATTTCCACACAGGTAAATTTATAAGAAATTGTTTGAGATAGTATTTGACTTTGTTAACAGGTGTAATTCGAATATTTCGATTATGGACTTTGATTGTCATAGCTTGGTCAATAGATCGTACAGGAATTTCTGATGTGTGATTTGCAGTTGTAATATCACGTTGCTGGTGCAAAAATTCAACATAATTTGAAATAGTAACAATAAAATTGTCAAATGTATCATGGAACCAATTAAAATTCGCGTTTAACATCCAAGATGATATAGTATATGGAGCAAGGATTTGACAATGCAAATTTAATTCATTTGCATCAAAAGATTTTTGTGACTCCTTATATGATTCTGAATCTGCTTAACCAAAAAATTCAAAGAAAAGCTTGGGTATGTGGTAGCTACGATTTTTAAGTTTCTGGTGATCACACATATCAATATATCAAATTGTTTTGGTTAGATTATTAATGAATTGTTTTCCTTGTGTATTGGCATATAACTGAGATAACTATCCTCCACTATAATGATAAATCCAATTAACAAGATCAAAACGAAATTTTTTTTTTATGATTTATTCTATCAAATTGTGAGAAAGTAAGCAAGTGTATCTTGGTTTTGTGCGCATTTTGTATTAGGATCATAAGGCTGCTCTGCTGTGATATTGAATTAGAAATTGTATCATCTATTTTTAAGCCGATAGTGTATGCATCTTCCCATGCTTGTTGTGAGTTCTAATATATTAATATATTACAAATGGGACTAACTTGAGTTGCAGCTCCAACTGGTGTTTCACTTAACTCAACGTGTTTCATTATTTCAGAACTTGGTACAACTATATTGTATTCAGGAGATAATTCATTATTTATAAGTTAATAAAAAAATCTTTTATTTTCATTTCACAAGGAATAGGATGGATGTACTATCTGTGAAAAGTCTTTGATCCTTTAGAGATACATATATTTGCAAATGGAATTTTTTGAAAAAAAAAAAAAAAAATTGTTTCAACCCATTTTTTATTTACACGAATTATGTCATCAATTTTGCTACATACCTTAATTTCATTATAGAAGAAAATTATTCAAAAATATGAATTATTATTTTATTAATAAAATATTAATCCAAATAATATATACTTCACAAATTCAAAGTTAAAAATGATTATATAAAATTATAATTGTCAATATTGTCAATATCAATTTTTTTTCATGAAACAATAAAATCAGTTAAAATTTTATTTAATAAAAAAATTTTTTTTTTTTATAAAAATAAAAACCTGGGTTGCCGGGTACATAAGTTTGATTCCTAGTTATGTAAACCAATTATATAAGTTTCTGTCGCCTTATTTACATATGTCAATAATCTGATAGTTGTAAAAAAACAAATATTGGATATTCAATATTTAAAAATAAATATCGGGTACCCAATATAAATTACAAAAATCGGGTACCTTAATAAATATCGGTCATATTTAATACAACTATCAGGGATATAAAAATTTTTATTAAAAAAAATATTTGAATATCGGACACCTATCATGTACTGATTAATAATCTATCTGTTACCGGTAGGTGTCTGAAATATGGATTTCGACCTGTGTTATCACCATTCTCCTGTTTTTTAATTAATATAATTATTTATAAAGAATGTAAAGAAAGACAAGAATTCAATCATTAGTGCTATTGGTATAAATATTTTATAAAGAAGATAATATACCTGAAAATTGATTTTTCATTTTGTATAACAACCGTCTTCCATATCTATATTATCTATAAGTCTTGTAAACTTGCCATATGTATGTGCCTCTAGTTTTAATTCATATAAATTTCCTTTTTCATTCACAAAATCCATAAAAATCCTGTTTTCAGGCTAGAAATTCCAGTTGAAACATCCATCTATAAAAAATTAGTACGATCTTATAGAAGAAAACATAACATTGACAAAATAAGTTTCTGTTAAATGAATCTATCTAAGAGGATAACAATTTATTATGGGTCTTAGTAAGCGTTGCAAGACCCAATTTCCAAAAATCGGTTATTAAAATAATGTATACAGGCGTAGGTATATTGTGTGCAGTTTTAAGATTTGTTAATTGCGCGCCTCTTCAAATTAAACGGAACAAACAAACGACCAATAGCAAAGCATTAGTTGTCGATCAATAATACATTCACATTTTTAATAACTGATCATCAAAGGGAGAATTTTAGAAATCGTGTGATGGAATTTATTTTTAAAATGTTGCAGTTGTGAAATAAGCCAAAATCGGATATATTTAAATGAACAATGGCTCTCAGACGCTCTGCAAGTTACAAATTTAATATAATGTGTCATGGAAACTACAAAATGGATAAACAAATATTTTGTAGTATTATTACACATTTCGTAATGATATTTGGAGCATAATGGAAGAAAAAGAATTTTTTACACCACTCAAGTCATGTGAATTTTTATATTATGGGATCACACGTGATGTGAACTTGTGATATTGAAGATATTTGAATGTGATATTTTAATGATGATGATATGAAGTTACAAATTTTATTCTTTAATAAAATGAGATTTAAAATTAAAATTATTATTTAATATTAAATTTTCTTTAATAATGAAATTATTATTTAATATTAAATTTCTTTAATAATGAAATTATTATTTGGGACCTAAATTTATAAAACAATAAATATAACAAATAATTGAAAAAAATCAATATACTAAATATTTTAATAAGATGAATATATTATCAAATTACTCACCAAGCATTTCTAATGGTTTAACCCATTCATCAAATTGACTTTCAGTGAGTGCGCCAAGTTGAAGTGCAGATTCCTTAAGCTGTTTTATAATTAAAAAAAAATAAAGATTATTAGAATCATTATTATTGTAATTATTTTTATTAAAGAGATTGATAAAACACTTACAGTTAAATTGTTTTTATGTGCATTTTTCGCAACAGCTGCTGCTTTATCATAACCAATGTAAGGATTCAAAGCCGTTACAAGCATCAAACTTTTATTCATAAGAGCATTAATCTAAAAGAAACAAATAAATTTTAGATATAAACTTAAACTTTATTTACACAATTTATTTACACGTGAATAAAATATAAAAAATAATTTACCCTTGTCTCATTTGCTTTTATTCCGACAACACATCTACTTCTAAATGATTCACAAGCATCCGCCATAATACGGATTGAATGAAGTAGATTTTTAATTAAGACTGGTTTGAAAACATTTAGCTATAAAATATTGTAATAATAAAGAAATTATTCAAGAAATAAGTAATTAAAAAAAAAAAACGAAGAATAGCAACATATTTAACAATGAAATGCTCACTTCAAAATGACCATTGGAACCTGCAATAGAAATAGTTGTATGATTACCCATTACTTGAGCAGCTACCATAGTCATAGCCTCGGCTTGTGTTGGGTTAACTTTTCCTGGCATTATAGAAGAACCTGGCTCATTTTCAGGGAGAACTAGTTCACCCAATCCACAACGAGGACCAGAACCTATAAAATGATGTTATTATAGTTATTGTTGATATTGTAACCCTTTATTTAATCTATTTAATAAAAAACTAACCAAGTAAACGTATATCGTTGCCGATCTTCATTAAAGAAACAGCAACCGTGTTAAGTGCACCACTAACTTCAACTATGGCATCATGAGCTGCCAAAGCTTCAAACTATAAATAAAAAATAAAAAATTTCAATAAATTTTAGCAAAAACATAACATTAATCAATAAAGACTCGTTACTAACTTTATTAGGAGCAGTTTTAAACGGTAAACCGGTGATTTTTGAGATTTCATTTGCGATATTAACATCGAATCCTGGTTTTGTGTTTAAACCCTATTAAATATTAATATTAATATTGAATTAATATTGAATTAATATTGAATTAATATTGAATTAATATTTTAATAATATTTTATTAATAACATTGAATTAATATTTTTAATAATATTTTATTAATAATAAAAAATGATTTTCAAATATTAGAATTATCACTTACAGTACCAACAGCTGTACCTCCTTGAGCAAGATAATATAATCTTGGAAGAGTTCCTTGAATTCGCTCAATTCCAAAAGTTAATTGTTGAACGTATCCAGAAAATTCACTTCCAAGAGATAGTGGTGTTGCATCCTGAATAATTTAATAAATATTAAATAAATATTTAAATAAATAAACAATAATTAAATTCATGAAAAACTTACTTGTAAATGTGTTCTACCAATCTTAATTATATTGGCAAATTCTTTAGATTTTTCAGCAAGAGCATCACGTAAATTTGTCAAAGCCGGAATAAGTCTTTTATTAATTTCAATAGAAGCTGATACATGCATTGCTGTAGGGAACCTAATATTTTAAATATATTTGATTAGATTTAAATAATATAGATAAAAATGTGATAAATATTATAATTATATTTTTCTCTTACGTGTCATTGGATGATTGACTCATGTTAACATGATCATTAGGATGCACTGGGTCTTTACTGCCAAGTTGTCCACCCAAGATTTTAATGGCACGATTTGCAATTACCTATTTTTATATTTATTTTCTATATTTATTATTATTATTGAATATATAGAATTATCTTTAATATTAATAAATTACCTCGTTAACATTCATATTAGTTTGTGTTCCAGAACCAGTCTGCCACACTACTAAAGGGAAATGGTCCGAAAGTTTCCCTTCAATTGCCTATTAATTTAAATTTTACAATTATTATAGATTTATTAATAATTGTTTATATATTTATTGTTTATATCTTTATGTTTAAATACCTCATCAGCAGCTTGAATAATACTGTTTCCTATCTTTTGATCTAATCCATAAGTCATATTAACTGTAGCAGCTGCTTTCTTTATTATACAAAATGCTTTTATCAAAGGTTCAGGCATACGTTCAGTAGGTCCACCAATATTAAAATTTTGTAAAGACCTTAAAAATTTTTAAAAATTTATAATTTATTCTCGAATTTTGTAAAAGAGTTTTTTTTTTAAAAAAAAAGAGGAAATATTATCGCATACCTCTGTGTTTGGGCACCCCAATAACGGTCAGCGGGAACTTGAACTTCTCCCAAAGTATCTTTTTCAATTCTGTGTTTATCCTGAATAGAAGACATGACGTTTAAAGAATTCGATTTTTCAGATGAAATGAGAAGAAATGAGATGCCTCGATTATGATTATGATTATCTTTTAATCTTTAATCATTCTTTTATATCCATAATCCACGTGATTTGTGTATATTTCTCTACTTGTCATACGATTGTGAGAAAATAGAAAACGATAAAATGAAAGAATTATGTAAAATTGAAACTTACCATTTTGAATGATTCTATAGTGAATTGAACTTGGCCCAACCGAATCACCTTCATAAATTTTTTAATATAGTTGTGAAAAGGTCAACAAGATAGTTCCAAAAATTTCAAAACCTTTCATTTTTATTTATATATAGAAATGCATACGGGATTATTATTATTAATTTTATTAATTTGAATACGAGAAAACCGTAAACTCTTTGATAAAAACATTTTGAATCAAAAAAAAGTTTTTTTAAAAAAAAAAAACTAAAAAAAAATTTTACGGACAGACATTTTATCGGAAACATACAAAAAAGCGACAAATTGTAAATGTATGTAGATGCAGTGTATCACGCTACTCAAATTTACTCAAATGTAATTTTTAATTTATTTTCATTTATTTCACGTGTCATAACCACTTTGAGCCTGAAATTCATTCCATATTTTTCACATTTATATAAATTTTTAATAATATATTTAAGTAAACATGACAGAAGAAATTTCTGATGCGGTAGAACTTACAAACTTTTCTGTTCCACCAACAATTTATACCGATGACGGAATTGAACAAGTTGAAGTATTTTCTGCTTCAGCAGAAAAACAAAAACTTTCACTTCTATATCGAAAGGTGTGATAAAAAATCCTCCCCAATAAATAAATATATTTATTTTTTTTCATCACTTAATTTTTTGATTTGAATTGAAATTTTTTTTAAAAAAGGGTTTTAGTAACGGTAAAGAAACCATTAAAGCAGTTGAACTAAAAGTTTCTGGTGAATTACCAAAATGGTTGTCTGGTGAATATTTCACTGTCGGTCCGGGTACTTACGATGTAAAATATAATAGAATGATAGAAACTAATGTTGGTTTCGAAACTGGAACTACTACTTTCTCTATGGGTCATTGGTTTGACGGGTACTAATAATTTTTTATTATTATCAATTTGTTAATTTATTATTTTTACGTTGAATATTTTGAATGATTAATTTTAGATTTATTTAATTATATATAGTCTTCCCCTGGTAAATCGATTTGCATTAGACGGTGCAAATAATAAAATAAATTATCGATCTAAACTTACCAGTAAAAAATTTGAAACCAAAATACGAGAACATCATGGAATTGTTACGAGGCATCCATTCTCTTTATTTAAAACACACCCAAAGTAATATAATTTTATATTTCATCGTATTTATTTTGATTTAATAATAATAATAATAATTTAATATATATTTAATGATTCAATATTTGAATTCAGTCAAACACCTTTAGCCAAATTTCTTGGAAAAAAAAGAACAAATAAACCTGAATTGGAATCATGTTCTGCTAGTATCAATAATAATTTTCCATTTAGTAAGCCGGGAGAAAAACCAAAAATTTATTGTCAGAATCATGCTAGTCAGGTATTGAATTAAAAAAAAAATCATTCAAAAATATAATATAAAATAAATTTTAATTTAATTAATTTATTTATTTATTTTTCTTTCTTTAGATTGTAGAACTCGATGCTTATGATCTAACACCTTTACGAGTTTTTTCTTGGGATGAAATTGATCCATCATTTCGAGGAGATCATGCATCACCTCATTCGCATTTTGATGAAACTACTGGAGAATTAATTAATTTTAATATGGAATATCATCCAGTGGCAACAAAATATAATTTCTTTTCAATATCTGAAAAATATCCAAAGGGACAATTGATTGCTTCTGTTATGGCAAAGGCTTCTTACGTTCATAGCTTTAGTGTTACTCCCAGATTTATCATTTTGGTAAATTGTTTTGACATTTTAATTTTATTTATTTTATTTTATTTTCATTTTTATACTAATTCTTTGGCAAAATAAAATTTTCAGGTAATTTTCCCATTTTATGGAAAAAATGCTGGCATTAATTTTAAATGGTCAGATAACATCTTAGATTCGTTTGTATTTAAACCAGAAGAACCTACATTATTTTATGTCATTTCAAGAGAAAAGAAAGAACATGTCGCTATTTATAAATCTGAAGCTTGTTTCGCGTGAGTAATTTTATTAGAAAATGTTCATTGATTATTAATTATTATCTTTATTATTTTTTGTTTATTATATTTATTTATTAATTTTTATTTATTCATTAATATTTTTCAAGTTTTCATCATATTAACGCATTTGAAGATGAAGATAATAATTTATATTTGGATATTGTATGTTACGATTCAGAGTATATTGCACGTTACTTAACCCTTGAGAATTTTCGTCAAGGATTGCCCATTCGTTTACCTTTGGCAGAAGTTCGTAGATTCGCTTTATTAAACATCCAACGTGAATCAATAAAATACTTAAATAATGCTCAAGTGAATCAAAGTACGATGGCTTCGATATTTAAAAGGAGTTCCGTTTATTATAGTCAACAAATTCCTCATCCATGGCCTGAAGCTAATTATGTTAGATGTTCAGATTCAGCTTTGGAACTTCCAGCGTATGCATCAAAATATATATATATTGATTCTTTGTTTAATTAAAAATATTTAGAATATATCTAATTAAAAAAATATTTTCATATTCATAAATAAAAAGTATTAATCCAAAGTTAAAACGTCGTAAATATCGTTACGTTTATGGCATTGGGTTTTCTGAACGAGCAGCTAAACAAGTTACTGAAATTTGGGATTCCCTCATTAAGAATGTAAGTATTAAAGTATTAGTGAATAATTTCTTTAATATTTATATTCTTCTATTTATAATTTATTTTTTTTTATTCAGGATTTGGATGCTAAAGAAGCAGTTGCAATGTGGTCAGTTGAGAATTGTTATCCATCTGAACCTGTGTTTGTACCACATCCAGGTCAAGACAATGATGAGGATGATGGTGTAGTACTAAGTGTTGTCTTTGATGGTGCAAATGTTCAAAGTTTTTTAGTTGTACTTGATGCCAAAACAATGACTGAATTGGCTAGAGTTGAACTACCTCAAGTTGTGCCGTTATCTTTTGGTCATGGGACATTTAAAGAAACCTCCGTATAATAGTTATTATAAATTTTTAATCTAAATAATTACAGTCAACTTCCATAATCGAAACGAGTAATTCACTTATTGGAAGGTTGATTGTAAATATATATTATATATTTATTTATTTATTTTTAGTAAAAACTCTTTGTTTATATAGAATAATTTTCAAATATTTTTAATATTTTTAATGGAAATAATATAATTAGAAAATATACATAAAAATATTTTAAAAAAATTTTAATAAATAATGCGCATCTTTGGATTCTCAATTCAAAAATTAATTTGTTTTTTTTATATTAATTTGTTGATAATATATGTATAATGTTATATAAAATATTATAAACGACTAAACGATAGATATCGATACAAAATTTAAAAACGGATATTTTTTGCTTTTATGATTTAGAAATTAAACAATTGAACTAAAGATCCGTAATGTCGCAATTATGGCGCAATTATATCATTAATGTAATTATATATAAGATCGGTATAACATCGATAGTTGTTACATATAAAACTTTTTAGTTTATAAGTAAATGTCAAAAATAATATTAAGTAATCTTAAAGAAAACAATGAATTACGTATTATATAAAAAGAAGAGATATGTGTCATCAAAATTGAGAGAACGATTAGCAGTTAAATCTCAAACAGACGAAAATTTTAAAATGATAATAATTCACTCAATTTTGATTATATAAGTCTGTCCTTTTAATATAATATGCAATTAATATTTTTCTTTGAGGTTACTTAGTATCGTTTTTAATATTTACTTATATCATAAAAAGTTTTATATGTAATAACTTCAACAATTTTGTATATCCGTCCGTCACTATGTTAATTGTACAAAAATTAATAAAATTACGAAAAATCACGTGAAAAACGGACAAAATTTTTTTAATTCGACCAAGATTTACACGACAGGGTGCAATTTATATTAAGATATTTTTATGACAGATAGAAAGCCCTTGTTCTTAACGAACGTCCGTACAAAATTACGGAAATAATAAATTAGAATAATTATAACATACAGTAATTATAAACAAAATCGTCGATGTTATTACATATAAAACTTTTTATTTTATAAGTAATATTAAAGACAAAAAATTATTTACATATTATATTAAAAGGACAGACCTATATAATTAAAATTGAGTGGATTATCATTTTAAAATTTTTCGTCCGTTCGAGCTTTAACTGCTAATCGTTCTCTCAATTTTGATGGCACATGTCTCTTCTTTTTATATAATACGTGATTCATTGTTGTCTTTAAGATTACTTAATACCATTTTTAATATTTACTTATAAACTAAAAAGTTTTATATGTAACAACTATCGATGATTATTTCTGATCTTATATATAATTACATTATAATATAATTGCGACATTGCGAATTGTCGCAATTAAAATAGATAGTTGCAACTCTTGTTGCAATTCACTAGTTCTGTCAGGTATCACTAAATTGAACAGTTGTGTTAACACTATTTTTTTGTTCGCATTTTTTTTTATCGCGTTGTGCAAAAAAAAAAAAAAACAAAAATTTATTTATTTCAAAGCTTTTTTCTATCTTTCAATAAATAAGAATTGACCAGCGATCGCTCCCATTATAATTATTATTATTACTAACATTCTATGCTTAAAATAATATAAAGCTCCTAACGTCATAATATATAAAGCTGCCGCAATAGCCCCTCTTTGAAGTGCAATAAAATTTCGTTGAGTTTCATCCTTAATACTAATAGCACCAGTAGTGATAAGTGATGATCGAAGCAAGTCAAATGCAGTAGGAGCAATTAATCCAACAACACTACCAACAATACCCTCAAAGAATGATGCCATAAATTTATTGCGACATAATTTTTCTAAAAGTGGGTGACCTATTATGGTGAAAAGGAAACACGGTGTAAATACTCCCACTGTAATAAGGAATGCATAAAGGAACGCCCAACCAATTCCTCCTCCATCCGCTCTAAGACCAGCTTGAAATCCAATGAAGCAGGAGAACATTACTAGAGGCGAAGGTAGAATATTTCCTATAGCGATAGCGTCTAAGAATGTTGCAGCTGTCATCCACCCACCAATGTTCACTGCTTCGGCTTTCAAGAATGGAATTGTTGTCTTGATTTTGAAAAAAAAAAATTAAATTTTTATGTCATTCTATAATTAAAAAGTTACTTTTACTATAAATCTCATTACTTACATATGCTCCTCCGAATGATATACTTCCAGTTAATAAACCCAAACCAAAGATATGACCAGAATCAAGTTGATCTTGTCTAGCAATTCCAATACCTATTGAAGTAGGTGATGGAATGCCGTGATTGAGGCCAATAAATATACCGAATCCGACAAATTCTAGTACTAAAACTAGAATACCAATTAAATATAGTTTTCTATCAATAAACATAAATGAAATTCCACAAACTCCCATAGTTATTAACATATTAAGATTAAGAGCAGTTAGAATAGATGATAATATTGCCATTCCAAATAACCAATTATTAAATTTATTTGTTCGGCTAGAAATGAAAGAATGTTCTGCAATTTTATGAACAGCTCTTAATACAAATGCTGCTACAATTGGTTGTAATGCTCGAAAAGAGGCATTAAAATAATCATTTTCGAATCCAACTACCTCATAAATGTAACTGAAAAGTAAAATTAATACAAATCCTGGTAATATAAATCCTAATCCACCAAGTAGTCCACCAAAACGTCCACCAGCAAGTTGACCAAAGTACATAGCAAATTCTGTTGCTTCTGGACCAGGTAAAATTTGATAAACACCAAAGGCACGATTAAATCTTGACATTGTTATCCATTGACCTTTTTCCACAATTCGTTCTTTGAATAATGCTATTTGAGCTACCGGTCCTCCCCAGGCATGAATTCCAAAATCCAAGAATAATATAAATATTTGTAAATAAGAAAGATTTGGGACTTTTGAATTATCCTTGAATTCATCATACGCTGGTTCGGATGATCTTTGGTCATTGGAGATAATATTGACAATGGTTTCTTTATCCTCAGAACTTGGAGTATTATTAATTACTATAGTAGATTCCACATCTTCTTCGACTTTTTGTTGCGTCGATATCACATTATCATTTACAGTAGACATTTTTTTTGTATAAATTAATTAATGGAATGAAAAGAAAATTAAGTAAATAGAATGAAAAAAAAAAAAAAATTAATTAGGATTTTTTTAAAGACAAATTTTTTTTTATTACCTTCTTATATAGATATGTCAACTGTTTACTTTATTCTTAAAAATTTTACAATTTTACAATTTTGAAAAAATGTACGACGAAATCTGCATAGTGACAATGACGCGATTTATATTTCTTGATTTGCCATCTTTTATTTATACATGTTTGCATAATCACCTTGCTCGAAGGTAACATTTTTTGGTTTTTTTATACATGTTTGCATAATCTCTTTGGTCGAAGGTAACATAGGTGGAACGTGTCATAATACGTAAAATATTTTTGATCACCCACCAATATAATTCAGGAAATATTACACATGGAATGGTAGGTGACAAATATGGTTTTCACGTTAAAAAAAAATTTGTCCCATGAAAAATTGATATTCGAAAGGAGTGACACACGGTGATAAATACACTATCCCCGACAAACCCTAATCCTAACCCCTGCGGCACTTCCGAAATCACCTCACTTGATTCTATCCGTCCTTTTAGCTCTTTATAAAAAAAAAATACAGATCAAAACAAATAAAGCATGCAAATCTCAATATTGATCTGATGACATTATTGTTTATCAGATTGTAAACTTTTATTTCAAGCAAGTTATATTATAAAAATGACACATCATTAGAATCAGATAAACGAATTAATTCTTGTACATTTATAACATTTATACATTTACAGTTCTCAATAAAGAAATTGTCTAACTATGAATGTTCACTTTGATTTTTATAATTCAGAAGGCAATGATAATGAAGTAAGATCCTCTACATTTATATTATTTTAAAAGAAATAAAATGGTGTACAAACGAAGAGAACTTTACTTTTTTAATAGGAACAAAACGTTGTTTATAATATTCAATCATCATGTGATTCGCCATCAAGCGAAGATGAAGAGTTTGAACAGATTTCAGCTGTACAAAGACAACAAAACCGTGAAAATTATCTGCAACTAGATGAAGAATATAATAAGAACGATAATAATGAATATAATGAAAACAATGAATATAATGAAAATAATGAATTTAATGAATATAATGAATATAGTGATTTTGATGATTATAATAATTGCACAAAAATCGATAAATCTGAATTGTATAAACCATCGTTAATATTAGAACTTGAGTCACTTATGATTGGAAAGTTCAAAATTGGAACATTTAAGGAATCATCTGAAAATGGTGATATTTTCGAGTCACCTCAGAATTTAATAATGTTGTTTAATCCACCGACTGAATCTATTTGTTTTGAGTTTGGAGATGAAAGATTGGATATGCAAGTTGCGGGAATTGATGAATATAGTTATGATAACTTTACAATCGAGTTGAAATTATGTGTTGATTTGGTGAAATGGATTTTACCGGTAAATTATTTAAATTAAATTAAAAAATGGAATATTTTTTTTTTTTACTTTTATATTATAAATTCATTTTAAATTTGTCTTTATATTTAAAAAATTATTTAAAAAGGTACGAAGAATAAATTCTCTGGATGACATTAGAATTGAAATTGATCCGACAGGAGGTGAATTATTAAAAGCAAATAAAATTGTGGTCAACGTTTCATCTGGTGTTTCAATGACTAAATTGAAAAATTCACTAAACGAATTCATGTAAATCTTTTCAAGTTTGAGCGATATTTATCTGTTATTGATATTTTTATTTTATTTAACGCATGATTTACATGATTTTTAGCCGTTTGAAGAAAAATCATATTTCTATGCTTATTCCAAAAGGAGACACCAAAGTAATTTCTTTTAAATCACGTGCACATGATTTTTTTAAAAAGAATTAACTATTAAAATATTGATTTATCTAAAACACAATTAGATTAGATTAATTACTCAATTTCGAACAATTCGGATTATGCATAATATCTACTCCAGTATAGTTCTTGATCATTTTCTCATAATGATTCGTAGAAAATATTTTTGTCCCAGAATAAAATTACCATTAAAATTTGTTTTAGATGGAGAAGGAATTATTGAAATTTGGAATAATGAAGATTGGGAATTTTGCAAGATTGTTTGCGAAAAAAAGAGATATGGTGATAAATTGGGAGAAATAATGATTGAGAAGGGAGTTTTGGAGATTCACATTGGTGATGTTAGTGGCGGTATTAGTGATGATGTTGAATGTATTAGTGACGTTGAATTTGTTAGTGATGTTTGAGAAATCAAAAATATATGTTTATGTGAATAAAAAATCAAAATATCTAAATTCGGATTTGATACACAAATGGATACAAAAAATCCATTTACCTAAATATATTTCATTGTATTTCATTTATTTAATTGAACCTATTAATATTTAATTTATTTTTTATTTCAACTTTTTGTTCTTATTTCTTTTAAATCTATATATTTACTATTAGTTAATCGAAAGGTTAGTGAGTTTACATTTAATAGTAATGGAGCGATTTCGGTTAAGGTTGAAAGGAACAATCCTTTTGTTACAAAAAATTTACTAACAGATTAATAATATAAAAATTTTATTTATAAATAAAAGTTATTTAGAACGTTACAAGCCTTTTCAAGGTTCACTTAATTCTTTTCCTAATAGACTATTTTGGTTGTATGCTTGCTAACAGTTAACATCTATTTTTAGTTTATTTTTCATTCTATTTTTATAATTTCTTTAAAATAAAAATTCTTAATTAGAATCAAGAAATTGATTTATTAATAATTCGAAAATTATTTTACAAAATAAATCAAAATATATAAATATAGTATATATATATATTTTTGACAATCATTCATTCACATCTATTCATCATAAAAAAAAATATTTCATAAATAATTAAAACCATAAAATTATGAACAGTAATTTTTTACCGCCAGAATATCAATTTAGACTATTAGGTCTAGAAAAAGAGTTACGTGATGGTGATATAACCGAAAAAGGATTTGAAAAGAAAAGAAATGCTCTATTTGAAGAATATAGAAGTCAATATCCTACTTCATTTAGTAGTAGTAGTAATAGTAATGGTGTTGATGGTTTAAGAATTAATGAAATAACAATTAATTCACCTCCTCCTATTGATAATAATGGTGACCAATATAATACTAATACCTATTATTCTCCTCAAGATTATCATAATCTAAATTATCGAAATGTTCAACAATATGATGTTGGCAAAAATCCTAATACTTATCAAAATATTCAACCAAATAATTTTCTTGATCAACCAAGATTTGTAACATCTGGTGGAATACGAAATCCTTCACCAATACCTCAATTAACTTATTCGGGTCCACAACATCCAAAAGTTCTTTCACCTCCTCATTCTACTTCTTTACCTCCACCTCATCAACATTTACCACCAATAAATAGAAATGTTAGTCCTGATCTGGATATAATTAAAAATCGAACTCAGAGTGGTGATCAATTACATTCTCGCGGACCTGATTCACAATTTTCAGGAAACGGTCCATTTACAACATCTCCTTCAACATCTCCTTCAAATCATAATAAATTACCACCACTCCCAATTAACAATAGATCACAAGTAATATCTTCATCAAACAATTATGGAAGTTCACATTATCGGCCTATGTTACCTGTTGCCCCAGTATCATCACAAAACCATCTTTTACCCTCACAACATAATGTTCAACATTCTACATCTCATAAATTTTATCCTCAAGGTCAACAACAACAGTTTGGAGGTGCTCCGATGAATGTAGGTGGTGTTCCAATGAATATGGGTGTTGCTCCAATGAATATGAGTGGTGCTCCAATGAATGTAGGTGGTGTTTCAATGAATATGGGTGGTGCTTCAATGAATATGGGTGGTGTTTCAATGAATATGGGTGGTGCTCCAATGAATGTAACTAGACCAATACAACAACCACAATACCATGTTATGGGACCCGCAATACCACAAACAAGCTTAGGAGTTGGTGCAGGAAATCTATCAACACCAGGAGGAATCAATAGAACTCATAAGATTATTATGGAAGATAGAAATATTGGTGGTGGTAATGAAATTAATCCAAGGCCAAGTTTGGATGTTAGTGATACGGCAAGCATCAAAGGTTATTCAAGGAATAATCTTGATTACGATTATGACGATAATGTTTCAATCAGAAGCGCAAGATCAAATATTATTGGATTTTCAAATTCAGATACGCCGGCATATGAAGGATTTACTCAACTTGAGGATGACCCCGGAAGAAGTAATTTTTATCTCTTTTTATTCTATGTATAATTAATTCATTATCAATTCATTATTAAATTCATTAATAAAATTTATTAATAATTCTTTTAATGTACGCTATCCTGATAGACGTAGGAAATCGTATGTCGATGTATAACCCTCGATTTATATCTGATCCTTTAGGAGATTCAGCTTCATTTGATAAAAGTTTATCAAAATTGGCAGGACAACAATTTATGCCATTTGAACCTCGTGAAATACCATTTGATTGTCTCGATCCATTAGATCCAACGAAATCTCTTGGTTCATTTCCTGATATTGCATCAATTTTACGATATCGTGGACAAGCCACACCAAAACAACAAGCATTTTTAGTATTAGATCAAAAAGGACGTGAAATTGGTGATTGGACATGGGAAAAGCTTTATTTGCGGGCTGGAAAGATGGGTCAAATAATTTTGAGGGAAGGTAAATTGGCCAAAGGTGATAGAGTAGCTTTAATTTATCGCAAAAATGAAATTCTTGAATTCTTAGTATCATTATATGGATGCTTTTTCGCGGGTGTCGTGGCAGTTCCTATTAATGCTGTTGAAGAATTTAGTGAATTATTATTCATTCTGGAAAGTTCCGATACGAAATTAGCATTAACAACAGATCATAATCTTAAAGCATTTACAAGAGATTTAGCACAACAAAAAAAAGAATTACCAGCAAATGTACAGTGGTGGAAGACAAATGACTTTGGATCTTTGAATTTAAAGAAAGATGAATTAGATCATATTGATTGCACAGAATTAGCATATATGGAATATACAAAAAGTCCAAATGGAGAATTAAAAGGTGTTGCAATAAGTCATAGAACTATTATTGCACAATGTAATGTTATGAGAGCATCTGTCGTTGACGATAATCAAGTGCAACAAATGTTGAAATATTCAAAAATCTTTTCAGAAAATCCAATAAATCAAGCACATAAAGGTGGAGAAAAAACAAATATAAGATATTCGGATATTCTATTGACATATTTAGAACCAAGACAACAGGTTGGATTAATTTTGGGAGCTCTTTGGGGAGTTTATTGTGGAAATATTACAATATTTTTGAATAGTCTTGGACCTGACACTCCAGGACTTTGGGTTAATAGTATTCATAAATATCAAGGTAATTTAAAAAAAATAAAAATGTAAAAAATGTATGTATGTCATTGAAATGATTATTTTTTTTTTGAAGATCAAAAATATTTATTTTTTATTTTTATTTTTTTTTTTTTGAATTAAAATTATAAATAATTAGTCACAATAGCATTAGCAGATTATCCAGGATTAAAACCAATTGTTAAATCTTTTCGAACTGATCCATCAGCAACTTTGCAATATCATAAAAAAGTAATTCCTAGTTTAAGTTCTTTGAGATTCCTATTTGTTGATACAATGTCTATTGATATTTCTGTTAATCAAGAAATAATTGAAAACTTACTTACTCCATTAAATTGTTTATATCCAAAAGATGTATTGACAGCTTTAATTAGTTTATCTGAACATGGTGGGATGATATTAAGTTTTGGAGATTTAATAGGTGTAAAGGGATTGGATGAAATGAAAGAAGGGGAAAGAGGAATTAAAGAATTTTTATTATATAGAGAAGAATTAAAAGAAAATAAAATAGTTATATTTCCGGATGACAGAAAAGATGAAATTTCAGATAAAGAAGTGATAAAAGTTGGTGCTTTTGGGTTTGTTATGCCTGAAGGTTTGTTTTATATATATATTAATTTATTTATTATTATATTATTACATTATTATATTATTATATTAATGTATTTTAAATATTTATTAATAATTAATAATTAATTTCATATTATTATTATTAAAAAATAGCTACAATTGCTGTAGTTGATCCCGAAACAACAGCATTATGTTTACCAAATAATGTTGGCGAAATTTGGGTTGATTCACCATCTTTATCTGGTGGATTTTGGAATTTACCTAAACATACTGAATTCATATTTCATGCTAAGCCAATATTCGTGCCTGGCGATACAATGCAACCTGGATATTTTGATCAAGAATTTTTACGTACAGGATTATTAGGATCATTGGTTAATGGACAATTGATTGTGTTTGGATTATATGAACATAGAATAAAACAATTAGTTGAAGAGAATCCTGATGCTCCTAAAAAATTAGTTGTAGTTAACCCAGATAATGAAGTCAAAGCGGATGAGGAGGAGGAACCACCAGAGAAATATAAATATCATTATACTTTGGATTTAGAGAATACCATACGGAAAAGGATTGAGAAGGTTTCGGAATGGTGGTTATTGTTATTATTATTATTATTTAATTTCTTAAAACGTCTTAATTAAAAAAAAATTATATACATATATACTAACATTAAAAAAAAAAAAAATTAAAAATCATGTCAACATTCAAATATTTAAAGTGTTGTCATTGAAATCTACATAAATGATCAAAATCTTCCAGTTTTAATCGCGGAAGCTGATTCACAACCCGAACTCTTACCAAGTCTTGGCAATGAAATTTATAACATATTATTTGAATATCATGGTTTGAAATTATATTGTGTATCGATATGTTTACCGTCTTCATTACCTAGAATCTGGAAGAATGGTAAAAAATTGTTGAATCCAGTATCATGTAAGAAGGCATTCGAATGGGGTAAATTGAAAGTTCTTTATGTGAAAACGTGGGTTGATACCGTTGTTAATATTCCTGCCGGTGTAGATGCATCTGGAATATGGGGAACATGTAAATATTATTTATTATTATTTGCACTTTTATAAACATTTAATATATATTTATATTAATATTTTCAATATTCCTTTTTATAATGAAAAGATGCTAGATCTGAAAGAGATGGACTTATCAATGGAGTTGGAATTTCGCGAAGACCACAAATTATGGCTGTAGGAAGTCCTTCAGAAGTATTGGATGAACGTACAGGAATTAACATGTTGGAATTCCGATCTATTGTTGACGTTTTATTATGGAGATCTGAAATAACTCCTGAAGAGGATGCTTATAAATTATTGGATGTACGTGGTAAAGATTCGAAAGCTCTATCTTGGAAGAAACTAAATAATCGTATCGCCTCTATAGCAAACTTTTTACAAAAGAAAGGATGCAAAGCTGGGGATCATGTGATATTGATGTTTCCTCAAGGATTAGATTTTGTGTGTACGGTTTATGCATGTATGGTACTTGGTATTATTTCCATACCTTTAGATAAGTTGGAACCAAGTAGAGTTAGTGAAGATATACCGGCATTATTCGGATTGATTGAAGATTTTAAAATTAGTTTTATTATATTAAATAATGAAATTGAAGCTTTATTCAAAAATAAAACTATTCAAAATTTCATTAAAACAATTACTTCCTCATCACAACCAAAATTTCCAGGTAATCAAAATGGTGGAATAACAAAATTATCACCATTTATTAATGTATCAAAAACACCTAAATTCAACAAATTACTCAAAGAATCAAATTATGTAATGAAAGAAGAATGGTTAAATCCAAATTGGACAGCTATAGTTATGTGTTACTTTAGTGCAGATCAGCGAAGAAACTGTGTTAAGTTAGGTCATGACACTTTATTAGCATTATGTAAAGTACAAAAGGAAACATGTAGATTAACGAGTAACAGAGCTGTAGTCTCTTGCGTTCGAGGATTTTCTGGTATCGGATTTGTTCATACATGTTTAATAGGAATATATTTAGGTATGAATTCTAATTCTATAATAGTGTAGTTTTAAAAATTCGCTTTAGTACAAAAATTTTATTTTCTTCTTTCTCCTATCTATAATTTTTATTAGGATCACCAACAATGTTGTTGACACCGTTTGATTATTCCACAAATCCATTGATATGGTTTGAAACTATGTCTAAATATAAAAGTAAATATTTTTTTTATTTTTATTATTTTTATTTTATTTTCTTTCTTTCTCTTTTATTATTATTATTATTATTATCATCATCATCATCACATTAATTTATTTTCGCACAATTAATTAATAGTTAAAGACTCGTACGCAACTTTCCTAATGTTGCAACATGCAATAACAACATTTGAAAATGTCGATTACAGAACTTTTTCATTGCAACATTTGAAAAATTTGATGATACCAATAGAAAATAGGCCAAATGCTAATTTCTGTAAGTTATTATTAAAAATATATATTTCTCTCTATATATTTGCGATATATCATTTGATTATCATTTGATATCGTCTGAATATCGTCTAAATATCGTTGAATGTCGTTTGGTTATTAATAACAATCCCAATATTTATTTTCTATAGATAAAAAAATCATCAAAACATTTTTAGCCAATCGATTAGACGACGTTGCTCTAAATTATGTTTATAGTCATGTAGCTAATCCAATGGTAACGGCCCGGTCATATATGTGTGTTGAGCCAATAGAATTGTATTTGGATTTAAAAAGTTTACGGAGAGGTATTGTGAAAATAGTGGATCCCGAAGAAGAACCATTTGGAATTTTGATACATGATAGTGGAATGGTAAGTTTTTTTTTTTTTTTGAATTCCTGAACATTTGTATTTTTATAAATAATTTATTAACAGTGATAAACATTGATAAAAATATTTCATAATTTAATAGGTTCCAGTGTCCACTAAAATAGTTATAGTTCACCCAGAAACTCGACGTCCATGTCTAACAAATGAATTTGGTGAAATCTGGATTTCATCAGATGCAAACGCGAAATCTTCATACGGATCAAATGATCCGTTAGATCGCGAAAGATTTTGTGCGCATATTGATGGTAATGCTAGTATGGGAATTGGGCCCCGTACGCCATTCTTACGTTCAGGGGATTTAGGATTTATACACACTGTACATAAACCAGTTGGAGATAATGGTGCTTTAGTGGAATTTCAATGTTTATTCTTCTTAGGACCCATTGCAGAAACCTTTGAAGTTAATGGATTAATGCATTTCCCCATGGATATTGAATTTACGGTAGAGAGATGTCATCATATGAGTCTTCCCGGTTTGATTACTTTCGATGGATGGTATGTTTCTTTTTTTTTATATAATTTTTTGCAACATTTCACAACATTTCAGCAAATAATTTATCCTCATTTTTAATTCTTAATATTCACAATAAAAACAGTGTGACATTCCAAACAAATGGCGAAACAGTCTGTGTTGTCGAAGTTCGATCGGCTGATGGAATACTTAATTTAGTTCCATGTATTCTGAATGCCATATTGGATGAGCATCAATTTATTATTGATGTGATAGTTTTTGTTAAGTCTGGTTCACTACAAAGATCAAGACTAGGTGAAAAACAAAGGGCAAAAGTAATGACTAATTGGTTAAATGGCAATCTGTAAGTAGAAATTGTTTCGTTGTTTTTTTTTTTATATAATTTTTATAACTAAAAATTTCCAATTAAATCTTTATCTACAGAGACACAATACATGTTCATTATGTAAAGCCTCCACCAACTGAATCGTCTTCACAAGCTCTCCCTACATATCAACAACCAAGCGTAATACTTCAACAACAATATTTGGTTGCCACAAATCCTTCACCTGTATCATCTCAAAGCAATATTAGTAATATTGCATCACAAGGAAATACATCACGTCCTAACTTATTTAATTCAAATAATAGTGAAACTAATTTTGCAAATGGACAAAATTTAAGATGGTCATCTTCACAAGAATCAATGGGTGAAGCTGGTGATCATTCAGGAAGATAAATTCCCCTGTGATAGATTCAAGGAGGATTTATGAAATATTAGATTAAAAAAGAATAATATATATATATATATTAATAATAATAATAATAATAATAATAATAATAAATTTGAAATAGGATAATACTAATTGAAATGTTACATTTTAATTCTTTACATATTTGGTTTGTTTGTAAAGTAATAAATTATCAAAATTTCATTTTATTTCTTTAAAAAATTAGCTTTAAAAATATAATAACAAAATTATTTGTATTAATAAAATTAATTTATTTATAGTTTACATTTAATAGTTAACTTTATTAATCATTAATCTTTTGAATTAACTGACTTTTTTTAAATCTAATAATGAATCATATGGGATGGATTAAATTTAGTGTTGTTAAATCCGAGCCAAGCCGAACCGAACCGAAATGCGTGACTGTTTTGTACATGTAAAAGATTCTGATAGCAAATCACCGAATTTCATAGCTTGACTTCTAAAAAACGAATCATCCTTACTAATTGGCAAATGTTTCTGCATCAGGAAATTTATTGGGGGGGCAATATTGATCCGCGAAAATGAAACAAATTACCATTCGATTTTCTTCATTTCCTCATTGAATTTATCGTTCTAGAATTATATATAGTAAAATTGGTCTAAATTGGTCGTTTCATTTTTCACATGTAATACACACCTTTTGGGTATCATGTAAATCGTTGTATCCCTATTTCTCCGATACATAATTAATATAAGTTATATGTATATGCTAAGTAACACAATTTAAAAAATATATGAATAAAGTTCTCCATGCAATAATATTTAGAATTTAATTCTTTATAAAGATAAAAGTTTTGGATATACTTATATGCAATTATGAACCTAAATATTAATATTTGTTCTTCCATTATTAGACTCTATTTGAAACTTTAATCTGTTACTAGATGAAGATAATAATTATACATATTATCCTTAATTGGAAATTCCAATAAGTGCAAAAATAATGACCTTAAAATAACTTTTCCTCTAACCGAAAAAAAGAAAAAATAAAAGTTTTTCCTATTGGCTATTATTGCCATAATCTTTATAAAATCGGTTTCAACGGCTGAAATTGGTTCCGCTGTCGGCTAAATTTATTAATGATGAAAACGGTCAATTTTCCAAAACACGCCCGATGTGGTATTTTGGGTTGCAAATAATAATTAGTAGCACTATTTCCAGCGCAATGTTTCTATTGATTTTATTTTATTAGAAAAATTTTAATGATAATTTCTCAAGTATTGCAGTGACAAATATGAAACCTAAAATGATTCCAGTAGTCTTTAATTAATTTTTTCCTAATTACATTTCTTAATTATTTATTTATGCTAATAAAGCATCCAGTTTAAATTTTAATAATAATTTGCGATACTTTTATAATATACAGTACTTGACTTTAATATGTATGTATAAAGTTGCACCGAGATCGATAAATTAGAGAAATATGAAATAAACTATGAACGAACAAATTATAAATATTTATGTATCAATACAAACGAAGTATTAATACAAACGAAGTATTGAATAAAATGGAAATAGTAGAAGTTTATAAATAATTATTATAAAATCATATCTGCAGTTATATTTATAACAGCTATACAACGAACCTTTCTTACGAAAGGGAACCTCCACTAAAATTTTGGTAACAAAATAGATTAAATCAATTCAATTTTAGAAACAGTAATATTATCTATAATATGTAATAATTAAAAAAAAAATAATAAATGTAATGCATGCTTATTTGTTACGCTCAACTGATAAAATTATTAAATTTTGTGCACTAAAGACACGTTCGTAATAAAGTTCTATACCGATTGGATATACGGTCGATATTATAGATATTATATCATATCACATATACGAAAAGGAACCCATTAAAAAATTTTGGTAATAAAAATAATTAAATTAATGGACTAAATAATTCAAATTTAGAAATTGGTGATAAAGGAGTCATTTTTTATTTGCAATATGTGATTTTTAGTAGTTAACCAATATATTTATATTTTTGTATATATATATATACATATATTTTTATGCAATTTAAAAGAATAAACAATGAAAATATTATATATTAAATATATAGATTATTTTCATAAATGCTACTTTTGTTAATTAATAATTATTGTTCATTGTGTGTGTGCGTGCGAAAGTTGTTTTCCAAGAAAGAAAAAAATTGTTATTGGATGCAATGTAAAGAAGAAAAAGAAAGAAAAAAAAAAACAATGCTTATTATATGAATTTGAATTGAATTGAATTGAATTGAATGAGGGGGATTGTAAAACGTGTGCTAAAAATATGAATATAAATTTGAATATAAATTTGAATATATAAATTTGAATATAAATTTTTGAATATAAATTTGATATAATTTTAAAAAAAAAGTTCAAATATATAAGATTTTCCTTCTTCTTGCTTCTTTTACAAACAAAAAAAAAACTAAACATAATCTTCAACATCTAAATCCATTACTACCAACTTTGTAGCTTCAACACCTTTTAATGTAGCACATTTGTTATAAACATCTGATTCGATTGGAAAATTATAATTAAGTGATAAATTTTGAAATGCCATCACTCGTTTACTAATTGTTGCGGTAGTTCTATGTTTATGAAAATTTATTAATGGTTGTGATTGAATTATAGAAATAGAAAATGGTGATGGAGATGGAGTTGGAGTTGGATCAATATATGAAGGAATTTCTGAATTAAAAACCAAATCAGATAAATATAATCCTGGATAAAAATGAAATGAAATGAAAATGAAATGAAATGAAATGAAATGAAATGAAATGGTTAAAAAAAAAAAAAAACAGGTCACAAAAAATTAACAAATTTAACAATAAAACAAAAAACAAAACAAAATAAAATAAAATAAAAAAGATCATTAACCTAAAAAAGGAATACATCCGGTATTGGTTTTTTTTACATCTAAATTAAGTTGTTTTTGTTTTTGTTGTCGTTGTTGTTGTTTAATTAATACATTTATTATTGTAGAATTTTCTACCACTTGACGCATCGCATCTCTAATAACTTTCCAGTTACCAAAAGGAGATATGTATTCATTTAATTCTTTTAATATACGCATTTCGGATGTTCGAACTCGAGTCCAAGTTCGATGTAATCGTTCAACAGGTGGAGATTGTAACCCAAGAAGAATCTGAACCAAAGTTGCGAAATTTGATAATTGAAGACATTTCTAAAAAATATATAGAGATATATATTATATATTATTTTAATTATATCAAAAATATTGTGTTCTCAGTATAAGAAATAAAAAATACCTGTGCAATGCGTATAAATTTTTCAATTACCAATGCACGTTCTTCTAAATCTCTAGTAAGCACAATTTCTGTAGCTACCCAATCACACGCCTTCAAAACAAAAAAAAAAAAAAAAGAAAAAATTGAAATTAAAGTTGAGATTAAAATTTGAGAAATTATGAAAATTTATGAAAAATTCAAAATAAATAATAAATTAAATAAATAAATAAATTAAATAAATAAATAAATTAAATAAATAAATTAATAGTTACCACATTGAATCTTTCAATAACTTTTTTTACCCCTTCACTTTTTTTTATTCGTTTTGATTTTGAATTTAAATTTATTGATTGATGATTCTTTTCTTTATCTATTTCTAAATCTTTTTCTTTTTCTTTACCTTTGATATTTTTCTTTACATAATCTTGTTCATTAAAAGTATTATCATCGACAATTTTTTCATCATCTTTGGTCCAACTAATATCGACCAATTCATCCCATTGAACATTTAATAAAAGGTTACGTTCAATCAAACAAAATTGTTTAACAATTAATTCAGATCGATACATTAAAACAAATGATTTATATGGATGATTAGCATATGAACAACTTAAAACCGAAGAACCACTTGAATCCATTCGACCATGCACCCCGATTATTGGATATTGAGATAAAAATAATTTATCGATTGATCTTTTTGATGGAAAATGTTTATTAATATCAGATTCTTGATTATTATTAATTTGAATTGTTTCAGGTTTATAACTCGTTGAAGGATAAGAAACTTCTTTATCATCTTGTTGAGTTTCCTTTATAGAATCTTTTTTGATATTTTGAACAGGATTATTTAATATTGGTGGACGAATATTAGATAAATTATTATTATTATTATTATTATTATTATTATTATTATTATTATTATTATTATTATTATTATTATTATTATTAT